GCGTGCAAAATGATAAGCGACTGGGCATTCGAAGGCCAATCTGCACTGATAGACGACTAAACGGGCAGCTGTTTCCATAACTTTCATACGATTTGTAGCGCCTCTGGTTCCTGTTTTCCAGCTGAATCTATATTTGCCACTCAATTAATTTAATTCGGAGGAAATAGGGGGACTTAGATAAGATTATCTACTAAAGAATCCACTGAAGCCACTGCACGTTTCCAATAATTCATTTTTTGTTTGGTTCTCTGAAATATTTATGTGTTGATATTTGTCGAGTGCCAACACAAAAGACACTCTCCTACACTTGACTACAGGTTCGAGTACACGTGTGTATATGTACACTCCCTTCTGTCCTTCCGTCCTTCTGTCCTCCTGTCCGTCGGTACTTCGGTACTTCGGTACTTCAATTGTTGCCTGAGTTTCTGTTCTGTTTGTTCTATGCCAATTTAGCGGCTTGTTTGCATATTTACTGTACACACTGTCTAAATTAGGCGGAGATTTCCTTTCAGCCATGTCCTTGGCACCTTGTTTGTCCCTGGGAAATACCCGGAATGCTAAAAATGGAGCAGCACCATCTCCACCCCCCTTGGATAGATAAACCGCTATAGACCCCGTCCGGGAAATACTACCTTCCATAGTGTAGTGTATGGTGGAAGTGCATTCCAAATTAGATGAAATACTTCCAACCAAAGGAATAGTGTGGGCCAGCAGTCAATTAGGAGAACAAAGGACATGGTAAATGTCAGCAGGAAGCCAGCCAAATGCTGGCCAGGAGAGACTTTTAATGAACATTGCATAAGTCAATTTCAATTGAATTTCATATTTTCAATGGCAAGAATAAAGGTCAACAATTATTAGCCTTTTGTCGAGGAAACGATACGAATTTTCAATTGAAAATGAACGAATCATTTCTGTCTCTATTTTTTGTTTTATATTGAACACATTTTTGTTCGAATTCTAGTGCATTCTTTGCCCTTCGGATGGATACTTTACCTGTTTTCCTATGAAATATTCCTATAAATTATTGTATATACGGAACTATAGAGGAGAGCAGCTCATATAAAACAAAGAACTTCAATCTATGCAGTTATTCCACCCAATCGAATACACTTTTAGTTTTATTGTCGTTAAGTTTCCATTTACACCACACGAATCGGCATAAGAAATATTTTCATTAATCAATATATGTAGTTCTTCAACTTGATTTATAGCCCTCATAGATTTAATTCCAACAGACTGTCTATCTATACGAGTAGATCCGTAATTCATTCAAGAGGCCACTCGAAGAGCGAGACTTATCAAACCCATTTCTCTGTCTAGATTAGATACTCCTACGGTTTATGTTAGTTAGTTCTTACGTTACGTGTTTCAAGTGATTTAAATGGAAATATTAGTTGTTCCATTTTGATTTCTTAGAAGATTGAGAGAGCGAAACGATTCCAATCACTTTTAACTTCCATTCTCTTCTAGAGAATACTATTATCTAAAAGATTGAATCCGTTTAGCCCCGCGCTGACTAAAAGCTTATCGAATAATAATATCTCACTCTCAACCTCCATATATCCCAATTATCTTAAATTATATGCGAGTTTGTTATTTTCGCAGGGCAACAAAATTAAATAACCACAAGGAAATGGGTTCAAACGGGGCTAAAAGCGGTGCTGGCCAGAAGGTAAGTAGCTTTAAGTGCTGCTCTGTGGATTATTTTACATTTTTACACTTTTACACTCCCAGTCCCAGTCCACTTCCAGTTTCATTTCATTTCGTTTCGTTTCGTTTTTGCTCCACTTTTTCATCCATAATTATCAGAACTTAACCCTCTGCTGGCCAACAACTAACAAAGTTGTGCAACTGCAACAACGCTTTTGTGTGTGTGTGTGCTTAGAGAGGGGGGAGTGTGGACCTGCGGAGGTCATTACCACTGGCCACATGCGTATAGTCTCAGGACGAAGGACGAAGGCGTAAGCTTTAAGCCATTGCGTATACGACAAACGAAAACAAAACTCGAGTTTATTTTATTTCATTTTCTTGGATCGGACGGAAGGACTGAAGGATAGCAGCAGGAGATGGTATAGAGGCAAGGGTCGGAGAGGGACAATAGAAGGAAGCCGATGGATCCAACACCTAGACACAACACACACACACTCACAGACACACACACGAACACACACATTTGGCTATCGCGCATTAAGCGTACCAACAACAATAACCCGAACAAACAGAAAGAAGGGATATCCGTTGGTGAACGAAGCTTTGAATACCCTTAAATATTGATCGTTTCTATGAGGTAGCCAGGAGATAAGTTCTCATAGAAACAGACGGACAGAGCAGATTATGAGATCGGAAATGCTTCCTTATTTACAGTACAAACAATTTCGTGAAAACCGTAATACCCCCCCAAAGGAAAGCGGACGACGACGGTGGAATTGGCCCCAAGTAGAGTGTCGGTGGCGGAAAGGAGAGTCTAGCTAAAAGTGGTCTATAGTAAAGGGTAGTGTAGGTTGTAGAGGATACTCTGGCCCGGTCCCCATCCCCCCTTTCACACTCCTTCACGCTTTGGCTTTTGTTCCTCCTCCCACTCTTGGGCTGGGCTGCTGCTGCATTAGTTTGTGTTTGAACTTTGCCAGTTTTCCCCATCATCATTGTTGTTGTTGGAGTTGTTGCTGTTGCTGCGATTGTTGTTGTTGTTGTTGTTGTTGTTGTAATTGTTGGTGTTGCTTTTATTTTTGTTGCTGCCATACAAAAGTCCCTCCCATGGACGCGCAACTGTTGATGTTTACATTTAGCGCTTGGATTTATGAACTCCGCATTCGGGGCACGTAGCATTTGGACAATTTAAAGTTTAGCCAACACACACACACACGCATACACACATGCCCCCTCCTACACACACTCTCCCATAAGCAGACGCTTTAAATAGGCTAAAACGCAAGGAAACTCGCCACAGCCCCCCTCGCAGCAGCCGCCAGCCAAAGGTCAATTGTTCTTTGGCAAATGGAAAGGGCAAAGGTACCAGGACTACGACTAGGGACAAAGAATCAACTCTTCTCGCAGCATTCACACACTTCTTAAGTATTTACGCTTAGTTTATTTTTATTTATTTAACAAACAATGAAAGCAGAAGGAGAACAACAAGTTGGCGAAATTAATGGTCTGCGCATAGGATTAGGCACCTCTGTTGAAGAGAATGAGCATGTTGACCGCTATTTGGAAAGTTCTACCTAAATCTTAAAATCCTTCTGAAGCTTTTGCCGGCTAACTTGACACCGGAGGCGATCTCCTTCACAATGCGAAAGAGTTATGGTTGTACTTGGCCAGAAACTCGGAGCGGCATGGTCTCGATCTGCCCTGGTGGTTCCCCAGCCGTTCTTCTGGGCCAGCAGAAATCCCGTTTTGAAATATTCATGTCTTTCAAATATATTTTCTTGTTTTCCAGCACTGTTTCATGCCCTTTTTAGGCAGTTGTATCTGCTAAGTGCTGAGGTTCTTGTCACCGCTACGCCTTTTTTTTTATGAAAATGTAGTGCTTAGTTTACTGGCTGCTACGAAACTATTAAACCGAAATACGAACGCCATCTCTCAATCTTCTTTCCATTCTCAGGAAATTAACATCACCATTTCGCGATGATCCCCACAAGAACACGCAGGCTTTCTACGGGACTACAGGGGCTGTTTCCGGGCTTCTGGATCCCGCACCCGTTCCCCAACCGCCTCGACAGCCTGCTGATTCTGATGTGCCGCCAATGGTTCAGCTGGGACACCCTGGTAAGTGCTCATAGCTCTGACGATCTCTCTCTCTCTCAATTAACGCCTTATTCCTCCATAAGCCATACGGGAAAAAGTCTCCACTCAGACGCTGCTGACGATTGCACGATCTCCCAGATCTTGGGCAAAAAGCAACTCACAGTTACATATATTAACGCAGGGTGTTGGTGGCTCCCCATCTTCATTCCTCCCCAGGTGCAAAGCTTTACTTGACTGACCAAAGTTTGCTATGCTAAATAATGCAAATAAGGCAAAAATGCGAGTACTCATCAGGGGTAAATCCCATCTTCAATCGTTTCACACCATTTGCTGGGTGAAATTTGGTTTGTTTTCTCTTCTCTTTGTTTGTCCACCGCTGCGGCAAAATCCCCCCATTCCATAGGCAGATTTGTTTAAAAGCCAAAGTACGGCTACAGATTCTCATCAGTTCGTTGAGAAGTCTTGCCAGAAACATGAAATCTGTGATCGCTTTTATTGTGCTCCTTTTGAGCGTAGTCGGAGCACTTCCCGCTCCTCATGTAGTAGTTGTTCCACTGCCACTGGGAGTGCCGCCACCGCTACCACCGTACTATCCACACCACCACCATCACCACCATTCTTCGCCAGGCTATGGCTATGGACACAGAAATAACTACTATGGATGATACCTCAATCGATGCGTATGCCCCATGGAAGGATTTATTTATTTGTAAAATAAGACTATTTCTAGACTTTATGCCCTTGAGGCTGTCACAAAATCTTGATAAGTGATGTAATATATTAATATTATGTTAACAAACAATAAATATTGTGCCACTTCAGTCATATATCCATTTTATATTCTTTTGTGCGTTAAAAACGATCCGTTTGGATCATTTTATGGACTCGATTCTATGTAGGCTAAAGCTTTATATAAAGCTTAGCTCTGGCTGGTTCCTCAATTGGACTTTGCAGAACGCAAGAGTTTAGTACAAAGCTCTCAAAGCTTCTTCTCAAAAAGCATCCCCTTCCATATGTGTAAATATGTACGTATGTACATACGTTGCAGCAACGACCTTGAAGGCTGCAACAAGCGCAACAGCCACAGCAACAGCAGAAACAACTACAACAACAAGTAGGAGCAGTTAGCTGCAAATCAATGCCGGGGACCGGGGAAAATTCAATGTCAGGGGCAAAAGCTTTTCGTGCAATTTGGCATTTGGCCGCTCCGCTCTTCTGTATCCGTTGCATACTCTGAGGCGGGCAACACATTACGCATACGTCGATGGCCAGTGCAAGCAGCGATTTATTAGAGAAATAACTAAATATAAAGGAACCATTTGGAACAAACAAAAAAGTGGATTCGGGGGCTATTGAGTGCTTCTCGCGAGCGAGAAAATTGCGACAGAGAAATGAGGCAAATTTAGCCGAACGAAAGAAAATTTTTGGTCGCCAGAGCAAACTGTTGCTGCTGCTGTTGTTGTATCTCTTGGTGGCTGGGGCACCAGGGTGCTTGCTGCTGGTGGCAGTTTGTGTTTGGTGGGTGACGGTGCCAAATGTTGATCATGACCGCGTAAAAATACGTATAAATATAATTAAAACCGAGAAACAGAAACAAAATCAAAGCAAACAAGTTCGCTTCACACGATATTCAAATAAAAATCCCAAACGAAAATTGTATAACGGCAGCGAGATGAACAGAACGATATTGCACTGGAGCTATCTGAACTTCAGGGATGTGCCGATGGACCTGTTCCTGTATGAGGATCTAGAGGAGGTGTACCTCAAGGAGAACTTCATTTCGGCGATACCCCAATGGCTGCTGAGCATCACGACCCTCAAGTTTATCCATCTAGCGGGGAACAACCTGACCGAATTGCCCAATGACATCTATATGCTGGAGAACCTTGAGTTCCTCGATGTCTCCAACAACGAGCTGAAAGAGCTGCCGCCCACCCTGGGTCTGCTGCTCCGTCTGCAGCAGCTGAACGTCTCCGGCAATCGGCTGACACAACTACCAAAGGGTAAGAGTACTAGAACGCCCCAAGAGCGACTCCGGTATCCACTGCATTGCCCACCCCACTGTCAACCCTTTCAGAGATGAGCAACTTGCGCAATTTGGAACAGTTGAACATATCCAAGAATCGGTTCCGCCGCCTCCCCATACAGCTGTGCGAATGCGTCCGCCTCAACGAGCTGAACCTGAGCGACAATGAGAACCTGCTGCACATACCCGAGCGCATCGCCAACCTACCGATGCTACAATCCCTCGCAGCTGATCGTGAGTACTTCGAATACAATACCAAGCCAAAGAGCGAGATGAGTATTGGGTACGGTTCTCTTGCAGGCTGCGCTCTCATCTACTTGCCGGCTGCTCTCTCCAAGTTTATGAACCATGTGCGCATATTTCACAACACGTCGATCAACTACTTGCCCATGATCTACGAGAAGTTCTATCAGAACTTCTACGACAATCGCCAGAAGTTCACACCCATGTAAGTCATAGATCCACCTCTACATGATTGCAACTTTACCTACCCTTCGCTTCAAATGCAGTACCATTAGCCACAAGGGTCTGTTCTGGGTGCGGGAGCTTGCTACATACAAACGCCTGCTGCTTCCGGTGGGCACGCGAAGAGTCTTCGAAGTGCCCTCCAAGGAGAACCGGATCACGCTCTACGACGACTGTTTGCATGCCATCCAAACGCTGAACCGTCAGGTGCCTGTCTACGAGAACAGTGCCCTGCACCGCCTCCTCCCCGAGCCTTATATGAGCTCGCAGATCAACAATGGCGCCATCGCCCGCTGCACGACTACCCAATGCTCGAGGTGTTTGTACACTACCTACTACTTCATGGTTGTCAAGAGGTGAGTGTTGATGCAGGGCCTGCCTGCGTCAATGTTTTGATCTGACACCCAAACCGGTCCCGAACGCTTTCTAGGTTAGGCAACCGAACCTTTCACAACCATAAGAACCACTAAACTGAAGTAGATTGGGGATTGGGGCCATTTTTGTGTATCTGAAACCATTTTCACATTGCATCTTTACAGATTTGGGAGCTCTTCAAAGCAACTTTTCACCTGTAACTTCTGTTCTCAATCTTGCGCCAATTTCTGGCTTGCAGCCAACAGCAGAAGATACTTTCAACTCCCCTGGAGAGTCTCTGATGATGACGACGAAGACGTCGACAACGGTCCTAGGAAGTAAATTTTGATGGAACGTCCGCCTAAATGTTGTACAAATGCACTCATATACGTACATGTAGAATTGTTTAGATACTATTGTACCTTTAATTAGTTGTGTAAATGTTGTGTGTTCTACTGGCAACCAGCGCCTACATACTCTTACTCTAAGCTTAAACAAAACTCTGCATTGGTCCTCGCTCATGCAGGTGGATATAGTCGTCAAGGAGACAGTGCGACGCCTGCGGATATGCTCGGCGACAATTCACTCCGTGTCGTCCCATTCTATAGGCATCCAGATATCGTTCGTCCAGCGTTCGATGGGGTCTAGCAGATGGAGGATAATAGATTAGAGATTTGCTTCAATTTGGACCTGGAAATTCTCTTACCTCAGCAGTCTGTGCAACAGCTGGGCATAGAGGCCACTGTGCTCGTGTACTTGTCCATTTTCGCAGATCAGACGCTCCAGACAAGCCGTTCCATTCTGCCCAATCTGCGACATATAGTTCTCGGCAAACTTGAACAGCAGAAGCTGCGGCTCATCCACAATAGGCAAAGCGGCAGGAGGATTAGCACCTTTTAGCTCACGAGCACTGCTCCAAAGATTCCACCAATAAATTGGTGTCTGCGGCTCGTTGAATTGATAATGGAAATTCATCAGCCAGACCAGCTGGCGCCAGGCCTTCTTCTCTTGAAACGGAACCGGAAATGCGCATCCAGTGACCAGCTATGCAGAGAATATGTATTACTTATTGATGTTACACTCTTCAAAAATATTCCTACGATAGTTCACCTTGATAACTCCTCCATTTTGGTAGATCAGGAAGCGTTTCTGCCTCCGGTGATGATGCCAGGACGTGAGATTGGCGCTCATGGCCCGCCCACTTTCCACAGCCAGCAAAAGCATCGAAAGAATCATTCTATAAAAAAGTTGAATACTTTAATTGTATATCCTATGTATGTGTGGGCAAATCCGTAAATTGTAGGTCAAATCACTCACATGAGATTCATTCTGCCGCTTTTCGTGCTGTCCGCTTGGGCTCTGGACAGCGTATACCATACCTCTTCGATTTTACGACAGAATTTTACATAAAAGAGAAGATCAAAGATGAAAGATGGAAGGTGAGAAAAAGCACGTGCTGTCGGTGGGTTTCCTGCTTTTGCATGTTCGACTAATTAGCGAACAACGCGACGTCTGCGCCGAAAGTAATTAGAGCCAGAACTTGTTACCAATCTGGCTGAGTAAATCAAAGGCAGGTGGTTCTGGCAGCCAACGAACAGCAGAAGAACAGCAACTCTCATAAGTATATATCCACCGAAAACTGAAACCAATCTCGTTTAGATCTCTGTGTAACTAATTGTGATGTGTGTTTACGTCCATTCGAAAAACAAAAACTTGAAAATTCAATTTTAATGTTTAGTGGAAATCAAAACTTAACCAAACCAAATATTAATCAACGAAAATTTATATGGATGTTTATATCAAGCTATCAATTTTTATTGCTTGTCCCCTAATTGGGTGACCTCAGATGCTAATTAAATAAAGAATACTTGGGCCCCCTAAGAATCGATGTTGTGGTGGGATGGGATCTACATATGCATCTCCATAGATACGGCGCTACCAGTTGCAAATGATTGACTGGATAGTGCGGCGCTGCCATGACGAGACCCCGCCATTGCCATAGCAGTGTTTGTTCCATTTATCGAGTAGCGGTACGGTGGAGAAATGTCGAACGAAAGCACAGTGCAATCTCAGCTGCATAGCATTACCTGCCATAGATTTGATTTTCTTTTCGACACAAATGTAACCAAAACGCTTCGGCAAAAGATTTCGCTAGTCAAAATTCTCTAAATTTCAAGTGTATTTTATCCCAAAGCCATCAAAATTATGCTGCGACTGCCAGGGATGCCACTGCTGCCGGGCGCACAGTTCTATGATGTGAGTAGGTCCTAGATCAGATGCATGACTCCTCCTCTCTTTTCTCCTCCTCGTAGTACGGCAAGCGTCGCCATCCCCGACAACAGACGCTTATGCACTATCAGGGCATACAGATGCTCTCCGATCGCCGGGAGCCGGAGCTGGTGGAGCCCAATGGCATTGTGGCGGATCCCAAGTGCCCGCCAATGCCCGCACAGATCAACACCCTGTGGGCACCGAAGGTGACTACGAAGCTGCCACCGTGGCTGGCCTATGACAAGCAGGTGCTCTGCTTCAACGCCTACTTCAAGGAGAATCTCACCGAGATTTACCATGCCCCGTACCAGGTGCGCAAGGTCAGGATCTACTTCTATCTGGAAGATGGCACTATGCAGGTCACCGAACCGAAAGTAGAGAACTCGGGCATTCCGCAGGGCTGTCTGGTGCACCGTCAGCGCATACCCAAGGCGCCAACCAGGGACCGGGAGTTCATCTCTATCTTTGACCTCAACGTGGACACCGATGTGCAGATCTTTGATCGCGTCTATCGAATCAGCGGCTGTGACATTTTCACCAGGCAGTTCCTCAATCGAGCCGGGATTCATGTGCCCGAGACGCAACAGGAGCCTAGTGATCCCACCACGGAGATACGCAAACGCTCTGGGTTAAAGCAAACATTCAGTGGTAGCAGTGCCGTGCCCAAGCGCCATTCCTTTGCCCAGTTCCTGGAGTTCGACAGACGCGTGCTCAAATTCCATGGCTACTGGAACGATCGGAGCGAGTTTGGTGACGTGCGGAAGCTGGAAATCTGCTACTATCTGGCCGACGATACCATAGATATAAAGGAGAAGTTTCCCCGAAACTCCGGACGCGAGGGACCCAGTACTTTCCTGAAACGAGGAAAGCTACCCAAAGAGTTCTCCGGGCCGACGCAGCCGGGTCAACAGACCTCGGTGACGCTGCTCAATGTGTTGGGCTCCAACATGCGGGATGTGCGCTACGTGGCCGATCCCTTGAACACGGGCCAGAAACAGGTACATTACTACACTGACCAGGATCTGCAGATTGGCGTCGTATTAAATGTCTTTGGACGCGCAGTAGTACTAACCGCATGCGACCAGTTCACGCAAAGCTACTACAAAGAGAAGGTGGGTGGGAGAGACCAGAGGTCAAGCCAAAACGATTCACACTTCACCTCATTTTCAGTACGGCATTGAGGATTTCACGCCTCAGTCCGTTCCAGAACGAAGTGATGTGCTTCCCCACACCCATGGTGGCGGAACAGTGCGTCGTCTGCCGCCCTACAACGGATGGGGCAGCTACGAGGACTCCGAGGGTAACTGCATCACCGTTGAGCCAAAGCCACCGCAGGCCGACTTCAAGAAGCTGATCAAGTACGACGGCTGCATCTTGCGCTTCGGGGCCAAGCTGGTGTCCGCCATACGCGACAATTGCGAACGCGTCTTTATTATTAGCTACTTCCTGGCCGACGACACTATCCAGATCTATGAATCTTCCCGACGAAATTCTGGCTTTCTGGGCGGTGAGTTCCTCAAGCGGGCACGCGTTGCTGTGCCAGGACAGGAGAAGTTCAGCGCCGCACGGCCAGAGTACTATCGGCCCAATGACTTTTACATTGGGCGCACTCTCACTCTAAAGGATCACATATTTCGCATCAATTCAGCGGATGAATTCACACTGCTCTACATGGAACAGCATCCCACCGAGGTGAGTGCAAGACAGCGAGCTAAGGCTCAAGGTGTTCACTTGATCTTCCCTTGATTCCTGTTTTAGTTTCCGGTTTCCGACATCCGTGCTATCATGCAAAAGATTCGCACTGCAGTGCGTCCAGAGTACAAGCAGTTTGTGCTGCGCTGCAAGCCCGATGGCAATCTTGGGGACTTTGCCACCGTAGACTTTGAAACTATGCGATCCACTCTGCTGTCGTATCTGTCGAAGGAGAGCCTGTTGAGTCACGAAATAGTGACCGTGTGTCGCTATTTCTCGGCTGAGCAGACAATGCCTCCCAGCTGCGATAGGAACCAGGTACGGGCCGCTGCCCAGCTAGAGCTGAAGCGAGCCCTGTGGAACAATGTGGAGGAGTTGTCGGGACATTTGAGCCACATTAATCCGACATCCAAGCAGTATATCAGTGAGGCCCAGGTCAGATCGACTCTGAGGGGCTGTCGTCTGCCGTTCAGCTTAGAGCTGATGGAGGACATATTGCAGGTGCTGCAGCGTAATGGACAGGGCGAGATCGAGGTGCGCGATATTCTGGAATTCTTCAATATGCGATGCGACCAGGTGCCCGACATAGCGCCACTTAACATTGCCTTTGAGCTGTGCCCCAAGCTGCCTTTCTTACACAAGGGCCGGCTGGTGGACTTCAACTGGTTCCTGGACTTCTTGGGCCTGGAGGAGGAGCTGAAACGCGCCAATCAATGAGGATCCATCGTCGGTGTTATCAAAATTGCATGTATATACAGAAAAATTCGTGGCAATAAAATTTTCGGAATGGTGAAATTTGTGCTTAAGATCTAGACGATTGTATCCTACAGTTTGGACTCTGTGAGCCAGTTAAAAGACTGTGGTTTGCGATCCGAGGATGGACTGATCGCCACATTGATGATGGTTGGCCTGTCCGTAAGCTGGTTGGCAGCCTTGATGGCCGTCTGCAGCTGCTCGATTTCCGTGCAGAAGTAGCCCTGCATGCCGAACATTTTCATCATTTCCTCGTATCGCACTTGAACCCCCAGCGCCGAAGGTGGTGTGCTGAAGGAGATAAGATTAGCATTGAGTACAGCCCAGATATAGTACGATAAGATCTTCTCACTCACATTTGGGTCAGATCGCCCTCGCTGCGAATGGCTTCGAAGGTGTCCTTGTCGAAGCCTCCGTAGATGCCATTGTTGTTGACAATCACAATGGTCACTGGCAGCTTGTACCTCACCATCGTCTCAATCTCCATGCCCGAGAAGCCAAAGGCGCTGTCGCCCTCAACGCAGAGAACCCGCTTGCCGGGAGCAAAGTCACGGCAGAACAGGGCAGCGGCCACTGCAAAACCTGGACCCACACCCATGGTGCCGAAGGTGCCAGCATCCAAACGATGACGTGGCTGCTCGTTTAGAAGCATGGAACGTCCAATATCCATTGTATTGGCACCCTCGCTGACGATAATCGTGTCCTTGGGCAACAGCTCTCGCAAATGATGGAAAACAGCGTAGTAGTTGAGCGGCGTCGAGGTATTTAGCGACATCTGCTGCACTGTGTCCTTGTTCTGCTTGCACTTGACGGCCAACTGCTTCCACCAGTCCTGCTCGTAGCCGAATCGGAAGTTCACGGCATTCATCTGCTCGAACAGCTGCTCGGCGAAGGGACGAATGTCCGATTGAATGGCCACCGACGAGATAACAGAGTTGTGCAGCTCCTCGGGGCAAATGTCTACTTGAATGAACTTCACATCCTTGTCGTAGCGTGGCGAGCGTCCAAAGTGCAGAATCCAGTTGAGGCGCGCGCCAAGCAGCAACACCACATCGGCCTTCTGCAGGGCCAGTGTTCGGGCAGAAGAGACGCACTGTGGAGCCGTATCAGAGACCACGCCCTTGCCCATGGGTGTGGGCAGGAAAGGCAGATTTGTGTTCTCAATGAAATGCCTTAGCGTATTCTCAGCGTGAGCATAAGCACAACCCTTGCCCACAATAACGAGCGGTCGCTTGGCCTGTCGCAGAAGGCGGGACGCGGCAATCACATCATCGTGAGGTGGATAGGCCACGGGGGGAGCTGGATGGGCCAATGCCTTGTAGATGCGGGCCTCGGGGGCCTTCGATTGCAAAATATTTCCGGGGAAATCCAAATAGGCTACTCCGGGCCGTCCATAGGTGGCATATCGCACTGCCTTCTCAACATGGAGGGGGATAAGGGCAGCGGTGGGAGGACGTGCTGCATACTTGCAGTACGGGCGAGAAAGCTCCACCTGTGGGCACTCCTGGAAGCCACCGATTCCTTCATGATCCTGATTAGTAGCTCCGCCAATGACGATCAGAGGCCAGCAATTGACCTGGGCATTGGCCATACCACCTGTAACCAATGCATTGTGTACATATGTGGGATTAGCAAATTCCATACCGAATTCCTCTGTTTTCCATACCTGTCACATGCAGGAGTCCGGGTCCAGAGACCACCAAACAGACGCCCGGCTTTCCCGTTAGGTAGCCAATGGCTTGAGCTGCATAGCAGGCGGCCTGCTCATTCCGCATACCGATGTACTTCAGTCCAGCGGCCTGGAAGGCCATAGACAGCTCGATAACGGGTATGCCAATGATACCAAACACATAGTCCACACCCTGTTAACAAAAAGCAGTGATAGATCATGGGATGAGTTCAAAGTTCGAGGATTGAATGCGATAAGATTTCCTTTCCTCTTAAGCTTTCAATTGCAAATCCAAATATGTACACAGTTTGGACAATCATTCATCGCTCCCTTATTTGTTCAGATAATAAATAAATAAAATAGTTTAGTATAGGCCAATTCATGTTCCAATTTATTTCCCTACATCAACAAAACATATTAACCAAAAATGCAAACACGTTTTCCATTGAAATGTTTGGAATCCGGTTAAAGTTTTATTGATTTTAATCCGGGCCCCCAACGAGATTATCGAAGGTATGTGCACCACCAGTATGTTTGAGTCGTGTTCGTAAACCTTTGGAACATTGTCTTTATCAGAAATCCGTTCGACTTTTATTAACAAGAATAATCAGGTAGCAAGAACAACAACTACTTAGTGTTTTTGAACTTTGCACAACAAACAGGTGCTAGATAAGACTCCGTTGTTCTTGCTGCTGCCACTTCCACTGGACCGACGACCCACAGTTATTTTAATCAGCGTCCATAGGTTAATATCTTAGATATGACCGCATGGAGATTGCACATTTGCTGCAGAAAATGCATCCCATCCCAGACTTGCGTGCGGGGGCAGTCTCGGCCTCTTACCTGTTGCTTCAGCGACTCCGCAATAATTTGCACTGCTTCAACATCGGCCATTTTGTGTGAGTTCTGTTTTTATTGTGCTAAAAAGTCACAGGCGCCGCGTTACTCCGCGTACTGAGCTAAAATTAGTTAAACAAATTAAATATAGTCCACGGGACGCGGTCAGTGTGACCGCGGATTTATCGTTGAAATATATCGCCCTGCCCTCAGAAACATACCGAAATTGAAGTCTCATTTGAAGAATATACCGACTAATTTAAGCTCTACATTCCTCGCTTTTGATATTCCCTCCAATATTACTAGCTATCTAGATCTCTCAGCCCTGCCCACATAATTTTATCCAATTAATGAATCTATTTTCAACTCGACAGGCTTATTTTAAATACTTGACTTTGATTTTTGTGGCTCAATGTTGGTTCCCAACAACAATAGTGTCTCGTATGATGAAAAACCGACCTTAGCCCACTAAAGCCCCCCTATTTAAATAGTTCAACTACTTGAGGTAAATGGCGGAAAATATTAACGATTGTAAATTCTTCTTGTAGATTCATGCAATCTTTCATCTGAACTTAAAAAAAACCACTATATTTTTCACCTGAACTGCGCTAACATTATTAAATTTGCAATATTTTCGGTGGAAAATTGAGATACCCCCTTGGCTTTTAATGGGTTAATAGTTCTCCGTCAAGGGTTGGAGACCATATTGCTCAATTTAGAGAGCAAAAAAATAAAACGTAATAGCGTAATAAAACGTAAGAGGAAAATCGTTCCTATTGCTCAATTTTTATATTCCGTTGAATAATGCTGACTAACTAAAATCTTTAGCTTCGCCCATATAATTTTAGTCCATTGATGAATAAATTCTCTACAAGATTGGCTATTTTTAAGTTCTCCTTTTTATTGTATTTTGACTACAGCAAGGCTTAAAAAAATGCAATGCCGTAGCTAAACCGTTGTTTGCAGCTATCGCCGGCACTTTCCACTTCGGTATCGGAAGAAATGTCTGTAAATAGTTATTAATTATAATTTGCCGAAGCAGCTGGATCAGGAGGTGGAGACGGTTGAGTCGAACACTTACCATATGAGGGATATGATACTCATCTATCATGATGAAAAAAGGTTCGTTCTTGAAATATGTCAAGTGAGACACGAAGTTAATTTTTCCCTCCATTTCCGGCCGCTTTAAATAGTCAATACATTTTTGGAATGTTTTAAAAAGATAGAATGTTGGGCAGAAGTGGCGGGGTGGAGCAGCAGCAACAGCAACGTTAGATGTTAGCTTCCTTCTCCCACGCTTTGCCGGCACAGGAGCCTGCGCTAACTGGTTGTTGGTACTGCATTTCCTTGTTGGCGATGCCGCAGCAGGAGGCCTGGACAATGCATCTGGTATACCCAGCGGTTGCTGCTTGTGGTAGCAGTGCTCGAGAAAGACTACATAGCCATTGTCTCCAAAAGCTAAAATAAGGAAAAGAAACCATGATTAAATATTGCTCCTTGCAAAGAACTGCATTTAAATACACACTTGTTGCTGCTGATGAGCTTGTCGTTGGATGTAGTACCAGCGGCTGGGTTCAATCGTGGCCGTCTGCTGTTCCTTGGGCTTCGGAGTGGGAGTAACTTTGCGTCCTTTGTGGGGGCGGAAGTGGGCGGGGCGAAGTTTTGAAATATTTTTGTAGCAGTGACATATCACAGAAGTCTGGATCCAAAACATTGTTGCTCTAGCTCTTATAGTCTTTGAGCACTAGGCGCTGAAGGGGACGGACAGACGGACGGACGGACAGACGGACAGACAGACATGGCTCAATCGACTCGGCTATTGATGCTGATCAAGAATATATATACTTTATAGGGTCGGAAACGATTCCTTCTGGACGTTACACACATCCACTTTTACCACAAATCTAATATACCCCAATACTCATTTTGAGTATCGGGTATAAAAAGTATTTGTTCCTCATGCAACATCTTGGTATTGTATAGTCTTTGATTCTAATCAATTAACTTATTTGCAGGCCCTCGTATCGCAGGAGGTGTTGGGTAGCCATGCCATCGACTCCGGTTTGTCCTTCGTCCTCGACAACATTCGTCGGCGAGGATATGGCCCGCGATTGATGTGCATCATATGCGATGGCTGCCCCGCCAATAGACTTGCAAAGACGAACGCCGCCCAGGAGTACCCTGTGCTCTGGGATGTCTTTCACCTGCGCAAACTATTCGCGGAGAAATTCGAGGGTCATTTCTAGCCAGGTGCACAGAATAGTCCGACATATGGAAGTCGTGCCTGCATATCGGCGGGAGTTTGACAGAGAACTGTATCGGTTCATGGCGACTGTCATGAAGCCGGGAACCGGCCCTGTCGACGTTGGATGACGTTGCCATGCGTCAACAAATCGGTCCTTTTCAGGACCACCAAAAATTCATAGAGATGGAAATATTTTCATTTATTCAATTTCACATTTGCAAAGGCTGGAAAGGTTCTTGGTAAATTTAATTATATAATTATATAATTAAATAATTCGGCAGAATAATTCCGGTAACGTTAACGGCAGGACGCTCATGTCTCTTCCGCGGCGCCGACGATCCAACCGATCCTGATTATGAAGATATATTAAACATTATAATAGACTAGGTATGTATTTATGGTATGGGTATACATATGTATGTATTTAAAACTCTCAGTTGCTGGGTGGAGCCGGACTCCACCAAACAAGTATGAATTTCGCGAGAGCAGTCTCACCCCACCCCCTCCCATGGACAGAAACCCCCTCCTGTATATAGTGATGGGAGTTGGGTGGCGCCTCCGTATCAGTTGGAGTTTACCTGGCCAACTCCCATCACAAGAAATCGTCTTTACAAATTTTTGAGAAATATGATTTTGAGGACATGATTTTGAGAGAGATGGGGAAGCGACAGATAGTAGCAAACATCGATGCTCCCACTAGGAGGTTGAAAATTTTCGGCCACACTGGAAATATTCAGAATGTTGCTAATTTTGGAAATGCGAAAATGTTCAAACAAAAAGGTTTAGCGAAAAAGGTAAAAGCAAGGCTTAAACAAAAAAGGTCAAGCTGTTTTAATGTTGCCAGCAACATAAGACTTAAGAAAACGCAAGTAAGTATGGAATGTAGGGACATTGTTGAACTGAAAACATCGATGTTTTTAGATTTCATTAGATTTACAATGGAAGAATCTTCTGGGCCATTTACACTATTATGTATGTATATGTTTGATCTAATGATGAAATTAGTTTAAAGTATTAACTGGAAGGATTTAAATTTGCTCCTTTCCCCTCAGCCTCAGCAATAGGCAGAACAAGGATAAAACATTAGGAAAAAACACAAGAACTAAACACTAAAAACCAAAAACTCAATAAGTAAACGTTGTGTAAAAGAGGTTTTAATAATAAATTTTATGTTTCATTTACAAATATTACAAAGTTTATTTTACTTTTAGCTATCGATTGCAAATTATCGATGCTGACAGCAACACCTAGATAAAATTTACCTTCAACAACAGATGGCGCTGTGGCGCAGCTGCTTATATGGGGAAAGAAAGATAAAATTTGCATCGACTCCGTGGCGCAACGGTAGCGCGTCTGACTCCAGATCAGAAGGTTGCGTGTTCAAATCACGTCGGGGTCAATAGACTAATTTTTTTAAATCATTTTTTTTTGGATGTGTAATTTAAGGGTAAATAAAATTAGTTTTCCAGACATTTTTTTAAATATAACTATCATTGACCGCCCACCCAATTCACTTGCCTGTGAAAAAGAAAGTGTGTTTCACAATAAAATTGCCTTCAGAAAAAAAAATAAAAACGAAAAAATGGTACTGCATCGGCCGGGAATCGAACCCGGGCCGCCCGCGTGGCAGGCGAGCATTCTACCACTGAACCACCGATGCTTGTGACAAACTCAGGTCTAAGCCTGTATGCATTCATACGTAGTATAATCGGCCTTGACAACCTGTTGGTTTTGTCCAATATGGGACACTGGACACCCTCCCCTCGGCAAGACTCCGTGGCGCAACGGTAGCGCGTCTGACTCCAGATCAGAAGGTTGCGTGTTCAAATCACGTCGGGGTCAATATGGGATAATCTTTTCCCCCCAATTTTTTTATATTTTAAACACACTATTTCAACAATATTTAAGATAATTTAGATAATTTATTGTATAATTTATAAGCAGCTTTGATTCGATTTACTACAAGCAACAACATGTACATAATGAGCATTAAGTTTTAACATTTAAAATCGCCAATATTCACGATAGTTTTAAATTTAACTTTTATGTTGTATATATATAAATACAGATATGAGTATATAGGTATTCGATTACTTGTTACGTACTCTGTATACGATAATATTGTAAATTCCCTAAATGGTTTGCGTTGATTTATTATCAGTAGTTGTTCCCTTATTGCGCGATGCACTTACGCATACACATGTATGTATGTAGGCTGTAAGGCGCATCATTAAAGTGCCATAAATTTCAATATAAAATTCAAAATAAACCTACCCAACACCAGCATTAAATTCTGTTCTATCCATCCTTCTTTTTATATATTCCTTCCTTTTTCTAGATAAACGTATTTGGCTAACAGGATTTTTCAACAATTTTTACACGAGTCAACAATTAAAATGGCTGCAGAATTTGCACTAACTATGAAAAATCAATCCTAAAAAAACATAAGCTTGTGGACCCTGTGTTTCTTTTTCTCTTTTCGTATGTTTTGTAGGTATTTTGTAAGTATGTATGCGCCTCAAAAAATATTGTAGGATTTAGTTTATTTCGTATTCCAATTCCTTGTTCTCTCAATGTCCCACCATTTCCAGTTTATTTGCTATTGACTAAGTTCAGGAATTCCTCGCGGGTCTTGGGATCGTCCCGGAACACTCCCAACATGGTAGAGGTAACAGTTTTGCTATTGATTTTCTGCACGCCTCGCATCACCATGCACATGTGTCTAGAAAAACGAAAAAAAAGAAAGAAGACACGAAATAATTAATCCAGATCTCTTCATGCATTGCTCAGTGGCTTTGTAGAGCATTCACAGAGCGGTGATCATAAGCATCGGTGGTTCAGTGGTAGAATGCTCGCCTGCCACGCGGGCGGCCCGGGTTCGATTCCCGGCCGATGCAGAAACTTCTTTTTTTTATTGTACTTTTTTTAACTTACACTCCTTCAACCACAACGGCAACGCCTGCAGGCTGAACGGCCTGAGTTACAGCCACTGCAATTTGCTTTGTCAGACGCTCCTGCACTTGCAATCGACGAGAAAAGATCTCCACAATACTGAAAAAGGTTGCAAATTTCGTACATTTTGATAAATTATAATATTCTTTCTAGGGTGTTGTGGTGGTCCGTCCTACCGTGCAAGCTTGCTCAGTCCCAGGATCTTGTTGCATGGCAAATAGCCGATGGACACTTTGCCGTAGAATGGTACCAAGTGATGCTCGCACATGGAGAACATTTCAATGTCCTTGACAACCACCATCTCATCATGATCCTCATCGAATACGGCGCCGTTCAGTACATCTTAAAAAAAGAAACAATACAAAATAAAGAAGGAAGACGAACAGAGGGGAGAAAAAAGACGCTGCTTCGTTCTAAATGACCCCGACGTGATTTGAACACGCAACCTTCTGATCTGGAGTCAGACGCGCTACCGTTGCGCCACGGAGTCGTTGCGTTCTTAGACGACAAATACCCAATTTAGAGAAAAGCACCACTCTCTGGGGCTTACACGTGATTTATGGCGCGCTTAATTCCTGTTGCGATTTATTTGCTGCATAACTGAATGTTAAGTTCAAGTGTGTGTGCGTGTGTCCATGCGTTGGCGGTGGCCGTGGCCATGGGCGTTGGGGTTGTTAAGGAGAGGAAGCTTTCGCAACACTCACTTTAAATGCTTTAAGTAGCCCATCCACCCACGCACTCCTAGCGTTCTCTCTCTCTCTGCCCCTCAACATACATGCAGAAAAGCTCAAGTTCTCTAGTGTGTTTCCGGATGGAAATCAAAATTTCCCCCTCCCCAAAACATCTTCTGGGTCTTTTAATGTCAGTTTCGCAAGTCACGTTGAAACAAAGTTAGATTTGGCTGGAATATCCACAAAATTCGAACTCTATTTTCGAAGGCTATTCACTTTCGCTTCTCTCATTTGGCTTTCAAACGGCCAACACACTCGCTCGTGCCTTTACATGCGATTTTATTTGACAAACTGTAGAACCTGATTTTCATCTCGAAGAACCGGTCCGCGGTAGCACGTATCAGTTTATTTGCAATGTTGTTTCGTTCCAAGCATTTGATTACATGACAAGTTCAAATGCAATTCCAATTTGAAGCGGAGAAACCGCATGAAAACGGTACGAAATTGGGCCATCCTATTATCGAAAGTACTATATAAGGCAACTATATGGTTACTCTAAACAACGGTTCTAACATATGTAGATCCGATACAGCTAAGGCCATCTGAATAAGGCCTAGCTACTGAAAGCAACAATGTATAACTTGTTCAACATAGGTTTCTACTGTATTACACCGCTATTTATGTCGTTCTCTATAGAATACTTCTACATTGATTGATAGCAGTGTGGTAGGCCCCATTACAACCTATGTCAGCCAATACGGCATCCCTAGCTTAGATTAATAATTCATAAATGTACGGCCAGTCCAGGAAAATAAAGAAGACACGTCCACATGAAAAGAATGTAGATCGATACTCGATCATTCTAAATAACTCAGGAGAATCTTTATTCGTGTTCGAAAAAGTAAACCATCCAAAATTATTCCTATTTCACTCTCACAGCTGTAGATTAACCAACTAAAGATTACCTTGCAATACTAAACCATACCATATATGACCTTTTTATGCTCTTCATGCATGTATGGAGCACTACTATATTGCTTTGACATAATACAGTAACATTCCAAGCACTCCCTATAGATGGTGGAACTGTAACTCAGGGGGACAGCAATTAGACTAATGCACTAACGGACTCAGGAATCCCCGATAAATGTGAAGCACCTCACAGACCAGACCAACCCAAACTCATGAATCACGGCACTGTCCACGAAACTAGTTTTAGATCGCACTTTTGGGAAATGCCGTGGAACGCATGACGCACACGGCACAGGATAAACAACAGAACGATCAGTGACCTGGTGCTAATTACCAGAAAGAGGACGGACAAACAGGTGAAACTCGTAAGTGTGGGGCTTCACTTACCCTCCAGACATTGGTCGTAGCCCTTGGTGAAGTACAGCATGGCCTTGGCCGCTCGCTCGGGGGTCTTGATCAGGCCCTGGCGATCGGGATTCTCGCCCAGGCCGCCCAGCAAAAGGCGGTAGGAGCGCGCCATGTCCGGCAGCAGCGCCTCTCGTGTGGGCGGCTTGTGGTCCAACTCCAGGTCGTGGTGGAAAGTACACTTCTCGTGGCCTGCAATGGCAGAAAGGAGAGAAAAGGAAAACTCAGGTTAGATTGCGATTGAGCCCATCATCATCATCATATATCAGTAAACTATGGGCAAGATAAGGAGGCAATGCCCCCCTTGGCGGGTGTGTGTGGGCATAGATGGAAATAATGAAACTGTTCTAAATCGAAGCACATCTCTAACCCTTGACCCCAAAACCATTCACTGGAACGCCGTATCAGTACGTATTCTGCTTATCGCCAAAGAGTTTTTTGTTTTGGTCTCCTCTCCGCCTGGCTATACTCAGACGCAGCCCCACCACTACCTGGCGTTGTCGATGTACGTGGTGTCATTGGTGTTGTCGGTTGTGTACCATCGTTTTCCGGAATGCTGCCGTTCGTCTTCAGAATCAGGCGGGGGCGATTTGTGGCTCCACTGCTCGGCACCAGCTCATCCGTGGGCGTGCCCACAGCGGATCCTGGCTGCGGAATAGCAGGCTGCTCCTCCGGCTGCGACAGGGCCCGGTCCGCCAGAGAGGAGGTGCCCGAGGTGCTACTTGTTGAGCAGACGCTGTTGTTGCGGCCGCGCGAAAGGATGTGGGCCTGCGGAAAGTTGGTATCGTCGATGGCGTCGTTCAATTCACTGGCACTCATCTCGGACAGTTGGCGTGTAAAACTCATCGTGAAACGCGGCGGCGGCGGTGGGGAGATTGGAGATGGAGCTCAAATATTTGTCACTTTGAACAAAAAGATGCGTCTCGATAGTAAATACACAAATTCTTTAACTTTTTCACTCGATTCTTTCTATTATACGTTGAACTTTGTCTTTAGCTTTGGTCTCCGTCTTGTGCTGGCGCGTTCGAATGCTCTGCTCCACTGAGTGGCTGCTGGAGCCCGCAGTGGCAATAAGAACCCCCAAAGCAGAGCTTTGAGCGCCAGAAAGCTCCCCCACAGCCTCGTAAGCTCCACGCAGCAGCAGAGCACACAGTCTCGCACTCCCACGGTTTTTTGTCCAGTGGCTGTCCAACTGCGCAGCTCTCTTCTCTCTCTCTCTATCGCGGACTTGTTGCTGCTGCTAAGAGCATGTCTCTCTGGGACTGGCGCCAACTGGAAACATTCAAGGTTCTTCAAGGAGTAGCATTTGTCTCCGTCAAGTGTTAAAATGTCAATCTACTCGACTCTGCCACACCACTCGATAGGAAGCCTTTCAACAAACAATTCCAAATTCCTTGCTCCATCCCATCCCCCCGAAACAGTCTGCCACATCATGACCTTCCGTGCCCAGCCGCGCTGCGATGATTTCGATGTGATTGGCGCCGTTCCGCGCGACTTGTCCGTCATCAAGAACTTCCTGAAGCGGGATTGCGCCGTCAAGCGGCTGATAGACATCGAAGAAGACTTCCTTCAGGAGTGTGTGGATCGTGGCGGTGATCCTTTGAAGCCCAAGAATCAGCAGCAGCAAAAGAAAACGAGTGGCAATGGGAGTGCGAATGTGAACGGGCACGACACGACAAAAGATCCCCAAACGGTCCCCAACTACTGTGATCCCTGCGAGCGGCTCAAGACATCGGTGGTGCTGGAGGAGGTTAGTCCCGAGTCTTTCATGCGAACACAATGCCTTATTCCATCTGATCCCCTAGTTAACGAAGCCAGCGACCACCAATCCGGTATACAACCAAATGCAGTCGACGTATTTCGACGAGGAGACCGTGATGGGCACTTCCCTGCCCGTAAAGTTCCGTTTCCGGCGCAAGGCCAACGGAAACGACGTGGAGAAGAGCAGCAACCTGATGTGCACCTCCACGAACAACACGAACGTTGTCGTCCTCACCAACTGTTGCGACATCATGGTGTGGCCTAGCCAGCGGGTAGCCCAGATGAACCGAGTACCCGTGACTATGATTTCGGGGCCCGGCGACCTCACGGAGTACATGCTAGAGGAGGAGACCATCATGTGAGCCCGGGTAATGGGACAGTGAGGAGCTACATATGTATAGACACATCCATTCCTGACTTCAGTGGCAAATAAAGTGGAAATCACTGGCCCGAGAATATCCCTCTCCCCGGCTACCGCCTTATCCTAACCTAAGGGTCCGGGAAACCTTCTAATGGCAAATGAGATGCTTGAGGGGCTTCAAATGAAAGCAGCCTATGCCGCGATGGTTAGAGTGTCTTGGTTAGAGTATTCCCTGCATAAAATCCGAATTAATCAATTTATGCCAGTCAAATCCCAATTCTAAGAGCAGCGCATACTAATTCGGTCAATCTTTGACTCTGTTCGATTCGTACTGACAATGTGACTGACTGACTGAAATTCAATCGGAGACAGTAACAGTACGGAATAATTCATCTGGAAATTGCTTAAGGCGGCGGTCTTGTTTACATAATCTCGGAACATAGCCCCCAGCTGCAGATGACATAGGCATTGGGAATTCTAGTTCTGATCTGGCCACAGTGATGCCTCCCTTGAATGATAATGAACGGGCCATATTGTACTTTACTTTTGCATCTTGAGTCATTCATAAAGAATGATCCATTCTAAGAAATAGCCTGTGGGAGACCCCTAAAATACTTTCCCTGAACCTCGACCGAAAACTCATAAATGTGATCTTTATGTAGGAGATGGGTCACCACTCGACGGGGTTGTCGTTTCTGTTACAGAGTCAACCTGTTGCTGTATGTTCTATGCAATTAAGTCATTATTCACATTTTTCAAAGGGCAGGGCAGGTGTTCCTCGCTCTCTGGCCCTGTCTCTCACCCTCTCTCTCTCTCTCTCTCTCTGTCTATCGATCTGCTTTACGGAACAAGGAATGCCAATCTCTGGGGGATTCTCAGTGGCTAGGGTTGCCACCGCCACCGACCGTGCATGGCATTTTCTGAGAGAATTTTTAAATGCTACAATTAGCAGTGCAGGTCTCTTTTTCATTTTTATACAATATTACTTCTTTTTTTTTGTATTGACCGCAATCGCTCAAATGTGAAGTACTGGCGACTGGGCCGGGGGCTGGGGCTGGGGGCTGGGACTGGGGGGCTTATTAGTCACACAAACAAAGAAACTGAAAACGGCCACAGAAATATCGACGAAGCCCACGAATCGAAACCGTTTTAGACTCTGCTGCTGGCAAAGGCCCGTGTGTTTGGCCGGTGCGGTGCGGTGCTCGCAATTAAACGATTTTTAACCTTCACAAAAGTAGTTCAGGTCTCCCCACTGCTCCCCCTGAACACTCTGCACTACACGCTCCCACTCCGATTGGAAGACCAAGACCGTTGGCCAAATACCGGATTAAGACGAGGAGTTTATGTCATATCTGCCATTGCCTCTGCCGTTGTGGCTATGGCTTTGGCTCAGTACTTGTACATGGCTCATGGCCCATGGCCCAGAGATCTTATCGCTGCTCTCATTGAACCTGCCGATCCGATCCGTTCGGCACCGATCTGCGGTAAGTGCGAAGCAAATCTTTCAATGTCAATGTCAATACTCGTAAGGTCCATTCCCATTCCCATTACCACTCCCGGGCAGTTAGCCAGTGGTATGCATATGCTCCTCCGGCATTCTGTCTGTGTGGTTTTTGTATATAATTGTTTGAAGAAGAGTACTGAAATTTGAGTTTTCAGTCTGCGGTATATGTAGTATGTGTGAAGACAGCGGTTTTATGTGTGGCACATGCAGCATCGCCGGAAATCGGAGTCGGCTCATTATACGCATCGGATTAAATTCCAATTTGCTCTAATCTATGCCTCGGATGGAGTGATGCAATATCTTGGCGAGATTGCGATCAGACGCCACCTGCAGCCTTGAACGCGTGACGTATCTCTCGGGAATTACTGGGAGATCAAGATCAGATGGGATCAGATCAACCATAGCTTCAGTTATCTAAGGGAGCTCGATAGAGGAGTATTTGCTACAGGAGCGGTATGCAATAGCTACAGATTGGGCTTAGATTTGGTTTATTCAGGAAATAAATTCAATTCAAACTCTCTCCGATCTCTGACTCAAACAGGAAGAAAGAGTTAAAGGTTCATCCCCATCTCCATCTCTGTCCTTCCACACTCAACTCACCGTTGTTTCCGTTGCCCAAGTTGAGCATTTCCAGTTTCAGCTGTTGACTGTTTTTGGTGCCTAGGACAGGAACGACGGCGCCGGCGGAAGCCGCTGTCGGGATCGCGGCGGCGGCAGCCTCAACGGCAACGGAAGCTGCATCCGCGGCGCAGGAATCCCCATTTTGATGGCTGCCATTTTGTTCACTGGATTGGGGCTTCATTTTGTTGGATTGTTTGATTGGAATTGGCTTTGGATAGTAGTAACTAAACGATATAGGTGTGAATTGATTTGGCTTTTTAGCGTATACGGCTAGGATGGATCACAATGATTGTTGGAAAACGAACTAAGAATTGAATTGTTAATTATTTTGATTTATTTATCGGCTAGTGTTCAGTGTCGCGCTCCTTTCCTTAGCATCTACCCGACTAAACGGCCAATGATTTAGTTATAACCTTTTTATTATGAAAAAATCGAAAGTTCTTTTGTCGGAGAGCAAGCGCGTGCGAGAGTGAGCGCGAATGCGAGTGCGAATGCGAATGGAGTGCCATGCCAGTAAGTTTTATCTCACTTTTGCGGTTGTTTTGTATTCAAGCTTCGCTCTGCTCTGCTCTGAGTAATGGCCGTGGCCGTTCGTGTCTGTTTGCAAAAGCTTTCGATTTGGTTCTCCCCGACAAGCTCCCAGTACGAAGCGCCCGCCCCCCGCCACACGAGGACTTCAGGAAATGCGAGTGCCCCAAAAGCTGTTTCTTTCTTTGCTTTCGGATGGGAAAAGTTTCAGTTTCTGTTTCACGAATTTAAATTCAATTAAAAACAATTCTGACCTGACAGAATAAACCCTTGAAAAAAACACACATACTCATTAAGCAAACGTGCAGTACTGAAATAATGCATTGATAGCCTGGAACCAGGCTGGAACAGCATTATTAACGACTCACACTGGCAATTATGGATACGGTTTGATTACCAGCCCCCCTAAAACTGAATTATAGCGGGATCATGTCTGAAATCAACTTAAACGGCAACTTTGCTGGCCAGTGTACGTGTAATGGCTTTTACAATAAATGCAGTTTATAGATTTTTTTTCCTCGCCTTAGTCTTAGTTTCCATCCAATCAATGATAATACAAATACAAAAAAGAGAAGCAAAGCAAAGCTGTCGGTGCGCATGCGCTGGCGCCGTTTCGCCGCCTTGAACAGCTTGGAAGCGATGTTAGTCATGCCCGCGAAATTATTAATAATATTAATTAGCCATTAATTGGACATTTACGTCTCATTTGCATGGCGGCCAAAAAAAAGGTTCAGTTTTGAGGTTTTTTCTGCCTGTTGCTCCGTTTTTAATGGCCATTCAATGTCATTAAAAGGTGGCGCAGCAGCGTGTTTAATTATTCCCGGAAGGAAGTGTGACTGCGAGCCGGTTGCCGTAGCCGCATTTACAACTCCTGAACCTGGCCGCCCACGCCCTCTTTGCCCTGCGCTTGCCGCTCCAGTTTCTCCTGCTCCATGTTCTCCAGCTGTGCGAGCGTCAGCAGGGAGATACCCAGCTGATCCTCGCGGCTGAATGGCTGGGCCATGCGTCGCAGCCAGCGCCTGGCCAGCTGCACAGCCTCCTCTGTGCTCAGGTTGCAGAAGCTGTCGACCAGATGCTCCTGTATCCATTTGGGCAAACGGGAGCGCTTGTCCTGGCGCGAGAAGCGCTTGTCTGCAAAGATCATGATGCCATAGTCCGTCTTCCCGCGCAACGCCCGACCCACACATTGCGCTGCATGCCGCATCGCATCAAAGGTCAGAAAGTCGTTCTCACGTATCTGAAACTGATCGCGCAGGTAGTCGAGGCGGGCCTTGAGAATGCGCGACTGCGTGTACACATAGGGGATGCCGAACATGAGCACAGCGCGACCATAATGATGGTCGAAATCCACACCCTCCGAGACCTTGCCACGCGCCACAGCCAGCAGCACGGCGCCGCGACCACAATCGCAGGCCTGAAAAACAGTACGAGAACGCATGAGAGCATGAAAGGCCAGTGGAAATATGGAAAAACAAACTAAGCACATGAGTTGGATCTACGACAGATCTTTGATACCAATGATCCAACCAATGCCACAGCACCCCTCTATGCAAGGGTATGGATGAAAATGAGAGCGAGGCAAGTGTGTCAAGCTCAGTGGAGGAGAAGCCATAGCAGTAGCATACATTGATCTCACCTTAACATAGTTCATCAAAGCATAGCTGGTCTCGGCGTTGTCCTGGGTCTCGATGAATAGCAGTTTGTAGCGTAGCAGGGTGTCGACAATGCCCTGATCGTACCAGGAAGCCACAACGGACTCCAGGTACAGATATGAGGTAAAGAAGCAGACAACGCCATCGGGAACTGTTTTAGCCACCTCCACTAGCAGCTGACCGTAGTTGCGGATGACAGCTGTATCTTCCCGAGTCTCGAACTTGGAGGAAATAGTCACCTGATCGTTGCCCTTGGATACAATCTGTGGAATATCAGCAGGTAGTAAATTTTTGTTTAATTGGCAATAAGGCTGTCAGCTATCACCATGGGGAGAAGGCAGGGGCGAGCCAGTGTCATGGTGAAGCTGCTCATGACCACGGGATCAAAGTCGAGTATCTTCGGGTACATGTCCATCGGAGACAGGGTGCCTGAGGTGATGACAACGGTTTGAAAGCGGGAGAAAACCGGAGCCATGGCAATGGAGGAGTCCAGACAACTGAAGTGCAGTATTGGATTCGATACGGTGGGTGTCTTATCGTCAAAGGGCTCTATGATAATGGTGAAGCCCTTGGTGTAGGTGGAAACTAGTGTGGCAAAATGTGTGATCTATAAATAAAGAAGACTTTATATGTGATAGGCAGCGCAGCTCGTAATTCGAATAATAACCCACCAGAGTCAGCGCTCCGTACTCCGTCATGTCGGTAATCTCGAGAGTGCGCAGCAGACTGGACAGACGTTCGGCACAGAAGCGCAACGGCTTGCGTTCAATGCATATTTTAGCGGATATATCCTTGAGGAAGCCGGCTGGGGACTCCTGCACCACGTGATGGACACGCAGTCGCGTCTTAATGAACTCAATGAAGCGACGCAGAAAGCTGAGGAAGTGGTCCGCATTGCGTATGTTGCCAGGTACCACCTCGGTCAGTACATCGTTGGGCAGAACAGGATTGGCCATAATCATGTCCGTCTCTCGTTGGACGCTGGCATCTTTCAGGCCCTGTACCATCCGCTGGTACTCCTCGTTGAGACGGTTTGTGTCCTCTTCTCGAATGCTGAAAGAAACTTTAAGGTAGAGTAGGGAAAGGAATAGAGTGGTCGGATTGGGCCTCACTCCTGCACCAATTTGGTCAGCTGATTCAACGCGTTCGTACTGCGCTCCACTGTACGTCTGTTTATCTTTACACTCATCGAATCAATGCAAACGTTGTCGATGTTGTGGGCCTCATCGAAGACCACACAGGACTCGCGCGTCATTTCCTTGGATACAACCTGCGCGATCTTCGGATCCAGCAGATAATGATAGCTGTACACCACAATTTGGGCATGGGAAATCTAGCAAGAAATATGATGAACCAATGTTAGAAAATGCTACCTTACTGTTTTGTTCACTCACGGCATAGCGGGCCAGGAAGTAGGGACACCAGTTGCGCGAGCGTCCATATTCCTTGAGATCATCCAGGCTGTAGATGCCAATGGGCAGGGTGGACTCCTTGCCCTCCAGACTGAAGCCCTCAAAGTACTGACCTGCAAGTCAATAAATAACAACGCGATTATGGCATACAGGTGTACTCCACTTACAGATGGGCGTATCGGTGTCCAACTCATGCTTATCGCGTATGTAGCTGGCCGTGAGGCCATAGCATTTCCCGTCCACAGCCTTGCCCTCGCGCTCCTTGCTTACCTCCGGATGGATGCACAAGTTCTTGCGAGAGCTCAGCACCAGGCCGGTCATGGCGGGCGGCTTCACACATTCCCGCTCATAGTAGACCATCAGATTCTGCAGCTCGGCTATTACTTTCTCGATTTCGGGCACTGTGCGGGAGCAGTAAATTAGCTTGCGAATCGTCTCTGGATGCTCTATCATGTAAGCCACAATCAGCGAGAGCAGCGTTGCCGTCTTGCCCGTGCCCGAGGGCATCTCCAACAGGCAGTGCCCCTTGGCGTCCAGGGTTCGCTTGAGTTCCAGCATGTACGCATACTGTTCCGGGTAGATGTATTCGTACGGGAAGTAGACGAGCAAGCCGTCAATACTGATCCTAAGGGTTGGATTTCCAATGGTTTTAGCAACAGTTTAGTTCAGTTAATCACAAATTTACTTCATGTTCCTGCTATTTCGATTCAATTTTCAATTTTTCAAACTAATGGTGGCCGCATGCCGGCTCAGCTGCTCGATAACGTCAACAATCAAAAATATCGGTGAATCGATACTTTGCATCGATATTTTATTCCTGTATTGTGCTATTGAGGAACTGCCACCACCTGCGATCACTGTCGCGTGAATTATCGAAGCACTGCCATCTCTAAGAAAGTATAATGATATTTACAAATTTTTTGAAAAAAAAAATATCAGCTTGTGCAGAACACTAATTGACTTATAACCAGTACACCAACAACTTCCATTCTTTGACTTGGCAATTTCCTGCTTCGCATAGGCGGGTGGCCAAATAATCCCACGCTACTCAAGGGTAGCAAGAGAACATAAAACCTCAAAAAAAAAAAAACACATTTAACAATAATTAAGCGAAAAGTTGAATCGAAGTCGTTTTTCTACACACAATCAATCACCCACAGTCTGCACATGGACGATCTGAACCCTTTAGCGGGCACAGCTCACCTCCTGGAAGAAGTAGACAGTGAGTGGCTCCGGCCGTTTGTTTGGATGACAATGAAATGTCTTAATTTCAGAGAAACTGATGGTGCTCCTGCGTGATGGTCGGACCCTGATTGGCTACCTACGATCGGTGGATCAGTTTGCCAACTTGGTTTTGCAGCGCACCATTGAGAGGATACATGTGGGCAATCAATATGGTGACATTCCACGTGGAGTGTTTATAATCCGAGGGGAGAATGTTGTCCTATTGGGTGAAATTGTGAGTAAACGAATCCAAACTTTCGAATAATTAATAGCCCGGATCTTGTAACATCCCCAAAACAGGATCGTGAAAAGGAACAGAAGCTGCCGCTCAAAGAGATATCTGTGGACGAAATACTGGATGCCCAACGACGCGAGCAGGAGCAGCGGCAAGAGAAGCATCGTCTGGTGTCTAAGGCACTCAAGGAGCGCGGCCTAGCCGTCAACGCAGAATTAATCAATGAGGATTTCTGCTAGAAAAGAAAAAAAGAAGGAACTAAAGTAAATAGATTAAGCTTAAAATGATTTTTCGTCACTTTGTATATTTGTACTGCATTAAAAACTATTTTAAAACCTATACATCAATTGCTATGTAACCTGTTCACCCCGACCCTGGTCTCGAGCCCGATACCACGCCTCGTCTCTCCTCCTCGAGCATAATGTATTTCTCCAGTATTTGGAACATCTCCACCTTGGCCTTGATCTTGTGCACCCGCGACAGCTGCCGCAGATAGGCAGCCACAGATTTACAGAAGTAATCGTCCTCGGTCTCTGTCATTGTTGGCACGGCCATAGTCGGAGCTAGTGACTCTTGGGAAAGATGCTTCCGTTCTTGACTCATGCTGGGCATGCAGACCATGTAGTTGATGTCGCCCTGGGTGGGGTGGGCTGCGTCATCGGCGTGAGGAGAGGTTGTTGTCGTTGAGTCCATTGTCTTGTGCTCACACTCTCCATCCCCAATGAAGTCTTCCTCGAAACTCTCCTGCTCGGGCTCTTGACCATCATCGGCCTCCACTAGCACCGAGTACGTCTCGGAGTGCGATGTCTGCACTTCTAGCTTAGTATCGTAATTGTGCTCATCGGTCTCCTCGTAAACATGCGAATCCTCAATCAGGGTCTCCGTTTCGGTCGACATCTTCATTAGTTTGTTTCTCCTCATGTCCACTTTGAGCCAACCAGTAGGCGTCTGATCTCTTCTGTTGCGCTCGCGCCGCTTTCTTACAAATTGCCGCAGAAAATCCATTTGTTTGAAGAAATCATTGCGGCCGAATTCGCTGGTTGGATGGAGACGCATCTGTTTAAGCTCCCGCGAATAGCGATCTCGTAAACAGGTCCAACGCCGCCGAGCATCTACAGTAGAAATTCTCAACGTTTCAGCCACTTTCAACCAATCCTCCTCTTTGCGCTGCGAGAGCCGAAAAGAGGGGAGCTGCGGATCATACAGCGAGGGTGTTTCACGAATAGTCTGTATCAGCTGGATATCCGATGCGTCCAGGGGTCGATGGTTGGAACTCATGGTTTTAAAATAATTTTAATTTTTTTAATGCGTTTACAGTGTTTTCGTTTTGGTTAGTGATGGTACCATTGATACTATCGATATGTCCATTTCATACTTTGCTATACTATTTTTGTGTGCGTGCTGTTAAGCGCATTTCAATCCTGACACTGTTAACTAACGTTAACATTGGAAATTTCAACCGCTATAAGAAAACAAGGAAGGAAGACAGGAAAGAATGTCTGGCATTTCATTGAGAATTGATCACGATGAAGATGAAACCAAACGGCTGCTAAAACCTTTTATTTTCTCAGCTGAATAGCTTTCGTGTGTTTAGTAGGTAAGATAACACAAATTTCAATTTGTTCCAAAAATCCTATCGAATATATAGTGCAGAGCAGTAAAGTGCGCTATAAAATTGAAACAGAAAGTTTCGTTGAATGCGTACTTAAAATAAACCCTAAAGTCAAAATTTCAGAAACATTGTGAACATTCCAAAAACAATGGCATTTCTTGACGAATCGCGAATCTTGAGGAAATATTGGAATATTTGAATTGCGGCCATCTGTTTTGAGTCAAAACTTCTGACTTAAGTCTTACTTTGAAATATGTTATCACATATCATAATATCGTATCACAAACACAGCAAGTACACATGCGTGCACACACACACATCTACGTTAAGTGTAACACCAACTGTGCAAGGATTGATTGCAGTTGAAAAATGTTTTCAAACGACAACGACAACGGAAGCGGACGCCAATGCGTTGGGAGGAACCGTATCGAGATCGGAATGGCGCTGGCAGAACCTCCAAGCGAAAGAAAATTCACAGGAAGAGGACGAAAGCATCACTTTGTTCCCCTTTCTGTTCGAGGCATCCATTCGGTGGTGCTGATCCTTGTGTTACTCTCACTTACAATGCAAAATTTGGCCCAGGATCCTGATGCAGAAACAGGAACAACTGGAGCCAGTGGTACTGAAAGTAATAATAAAGCTGATATCGTTTGGCGCGAGGGGTACGCGGGCGACGGTACGACTCACGAGCAGCTCGGACAGGACCACTGGCCTTCCGTCGAGTACAGTCCATACCTTGGTTTCGGCAATTATTCCCTGGATCTAACCTCTTCACAAAAAGCTCTGAGTCCCGTTAATACATTAACGCACTTCGCCTTGCGGTTGTTTTTGTCCGACCTGCCTCCCGGTAAGTACAACCAGATCAACTAGCACCAGAGAGCCATCCATTTGAGGCCCCTCCCGCCTTCCTGCAGGCTATGTTACGACGACGGCCAACAACAAGTTGGTTCTCGGCCCTAAGGTGTGGAAGAACGATTGGGCTGCTCTATTGGCTCAGTACTGGTTTCTGCTTGTTGTCGTGATATCCCTCCTCTTCTGTATAATTATCATTCCGTTTATTGGGTAAGCAAAGCCTCTACAAAGGCGACCCATAAGATCCTTTTTTCACCCTTTTGATGACATAGTGTTTGCTATTGCTGCTTTTGCTGCTGCTTACGTTGCAAGCAAAATAAGAGATCGAACGAGTTCCGGAGGCGTTGTCTTTGCAGCGTTTGCCTTGCCCTTCTCGTTATTGGCCTTATGTGAGTTTGGGTCGAGGTCGACCAGCCTCAATGGCTGCAAAATAATGTGCCTCCGATTACGATTGCCCACAGGCTTGGTCTTTTCATAATGTTTATTGCGAACAAGTTTGTGGATCGCGGACTAGAAGACAGCAATATGACAATGAAACGTGCTAGCAGGGACACTTGCACCTTTTTAAAAGATGTGGCTGATCACATCTACCATTTGCTGGTGTACAATTACCAGGAGCTGGAAGCCCACCTCGAAGATCAACTTAATAGTGAGTTCGACTCGGGAATTGAATCTGAAACGATATATCTTCTATCTGCCACCCTCCATCTGTCTCCATAGACGCACATGATCACATATTCCTGGACCTGGGGGATACCTCCGAGAGTACTGCGCTAGCAGAAATGGAGCGCATCTTGAACAACATGCCGAAAGCCCTTAAGATTATGTTGCAAGTGGAGGCCTTGGAGAAGGATATCCGTTTCTTTGGGTCCCAATTTAGAGACGGTAACTACTAGAAGTCCAGAATTTCTCGCACCGGATATCTGATGGATAGTCGTCGATACAGCTGTGCCCTTACCTTTTCGCCATTTCAGGTATGCGGGGCCAGAAACGAGATCTTAGCTACGCTGCTTATGCTTTGTGCCATTTGGAAAAATGCTATAAGTTCAACCATGATATGGGTGTAGTGACTTACGATGTTTCAAAGTGCCTGCATTTAGACCTGGTATTATATTTTCCCTACAAAGCATCCACAAAACCCAAATGTAATCAGTGTAATTTCTAGATTCCTAATACTACGATCTTTGTCGAAGCTATGAAACAAATTATTGAAGACAAACTTTATCAGATCCCAATAAGGGGAATGGCCCGCTTAAAAAAGGTTAAGGACATTATCCTTAAACAGATGAAACTCGTTCTTCCGCCAATATTTCGAAGCCTTACTAGATCAAGGATAATGTTTCTGAATGAAGCTATAGAAATCCGCGACTTGATTGATTCTATGATCAGCGATATTCACCTAAACACACTGAGGACCGCAAGGACATTTGACGACGTCTACGAAAAGTTTGGCGAAGATCGCAGGACTATTAACATCGTCATTTTTTTGTTAATCTTTATAGTAAGTCGAATGAGCTTATGCATATTTTATGCAAATTTGATGCATTTTGTTAAACCTGGTAGTCGAACAGTTTCGGACTACATTAGCTTTGTGGTGAAAGAATGTGTATGTAACACCGAGAAGAAAGCGTTTAGGACCCTATTAGTATATATTTTCGATAAAGCTATGTCTGTCTGTCCGTCAGTCTATACTTCCTTTTTGCTTGACGCCTAGTCCTCATAGGCTATGAGGGATAGAGCCCCCAAATTTTGTATACAGACTCCTGTGATGACACATGGAATTAAGTACCATCCTCGCCCACAACGAACGAAAATCTGTGGTTCTACTTGATAAAACGGCTAGTGTCGGATGCAGATGTAAAAAAATGTGTTTTTATTATATATATACATATATATAACTTTCCCAAACTGTTCGACCGATTTTAATTAAATTTTTCCCGATTGTAGATTATAGTAATCTTGATATCGGCACTGGTATGCGGCTTCTTAGGGCCTAACCGGACAATGCCAGGACCCCCTAGAGTATTCTCAAAGGGAATGGCTGCCTCATGTCTATTTATGTGAGTAATCTCTAGTTTTTGGCATACCGAGAAATTTGCAGCAACAGCCATATGTGTCACTATTTCAGCGCCATCATCATGATATTTTGTGTGTTCTCGTTCATCACGCTAGTTGGACTGTTCTACTTGATAATCGGTTTGATAACTTACACGAGCGCATGTGCTCCATTAAAAAATGATCAAAACATCTTCCGATATCTCGACCCCGTGATCGATATCAATCGCTACATGTCGGGGAGTACGGAAGTAAGGGAACCGTTTTCCACGCTGCCAGTGTCGGAGGCAATCAGGGCCTGCAATGCAAATGAGTCCGTATTTCAGCTGCTGAGAGCGAAGAATATTTACGACATAAAAAAGTTGTTAAATTTGGAAGTATTCGTCGACGGCTTTGAAGATCCCCCTCTGTTCACTGGGGATTTATCCAATGTGGAGCTCATCCTGGAAAAGGAGAAATTACTTCTCACTGACATGCGTGAAGGCAATTTGTCCGAATACCACAGCAGCTTATACAGCGAGCATCTTTGCACCAAATTTATCCATACGGATTTCTCCATAATAAAGAGCAAATCGATGGCATTTGTTTATGAAATAAACACAAAATATCTAAAAGGGTGGTCAGGCGTAATTGCTTACTACCTGGCTGCCGTAGATCTAATAAGATACGGAAATTATTTCTTGGACCCATTGACGAGTGCCGTAAAAAAATTATTGGAAAAAGTAAAGGAAATTGATAAGCTCATTCTATACGACAACAATAACTTTGGCGACTCTTTTAAAATACTGATGGACGCGGTTGAAAGGTCCGAGAACTTTATTAGGAATAAAGGCAACGATTACATCAACCATCTCGCCAATAACCTTTCGACTTCGGTCAACCTTCAGATTCAAGAATATGTCGAAAGAGTGATTAGGGAAGCGGAAAACAACGTAGGACACTGTAAGCCTCTGGCCTACATTTACCATCAAGGCGCTTCCTTAATTTGTGAACGTCTAGTCGATCCGATAGTGAGTACAGATTTCATCTGAATTCTCCACTCTGTTAATACTGTATTTATATTTTTTTATTTGAAGAACGCATTTTGGCTGGCCACTATTTTTTGCTGCATGCTTCTCCTGCCCGTACTGCTGGTAGCCCATTGTCTGATGTGCTTGTACTCTAAAATCTATCCGTCTCCGATTGTCGCTCAATTAGCAGCAGTAGAAGCAGCAAGGTAAGTCTTTCCCAGCAAAAATGGTTCATACTCAGCCGGATAACTAACTATCTCCCTCCGATCCCGTCCTTACTTCCTCTAGATGTCCAGTTTGCACAGGTCCGCCGGTCATGCTAGCGCCGGCAAATATTTTGTCACAAGATTTCCGCGGCAAGGCTGGGCTCACAGCTCCAGAAGAGTTGGACAGGCCGCTACAAGTTGTTCCAGTCAGAGCGGAATCTGTAGCGATCAGCAAACGTAAGAAAGACTAGGTAAACAAAATGAGAGATCGGCTTAAATCAAATTCTGCAGTGTTTGAATATTAAATGTCTTTTATCTGTTTTATAAAGCATATTTTTTAAGCAGTGAGACCGACACGGCCTAACTTACCCGGAGGCAGGTCGGACAAAAACAACTGCAAGGTGAAGTACGTTAATTTATTAACGGGATCTTTTAAATGTGAAAGCTATTCAGCTGAGAATATAAAGGGTGGTCTTAGCGGTAAATAATAATGGGTTGAAAATATCTGCTGCTGCCATAAATAAATTTAAGAAATAATAGCTTTGCCATAGCAAGTTGTGATCTCTATTGTTTTCAATTATCTTTCAACAGGACTGGTCTTCGACTCTGTCGTTTTTTCTATGTTAAACAAAATTAGTATATAAAGCAATTGCAAAATAGCAGTTCACATATTTTTTTGAAATATAGTTTTTAATTTTGTCTGTTCGCTCGTTTCATGTTTGAACTGGCGTATACCGTATGTTTACGGTATATCGGTATATAATTGGTATAGAAATCCAATATATGCAAGCATTTAGAATAGGCCAGTCAAGTTGAAAATTTATTTATCATCCATATAGTTGGTAATATTCGATGGATGATCAAAATTGAACAATAGGAACAACTATCCCTTTCGTTATTTTGTTTGACTATTTTCGTTAAAACCTCTTTTTACGCAAAATGCAATAAAAGCAAGTGTATAAAATAAACCAATCAATTAGAAAATAGATTCACTAATCGGACAAAATTATGTGGGCACGGCTAAATGTTCTATATAGCTGGTAATATTCCGCAGATTATCAAAAATGAGGAATATGTAAAACAGCACTTAAATTCGTTAGTATATTAACGACATATTTTTAAAATGAGACGGTATATTTTGGTATATTTCTGAGGGTCCGACGGTATATTTTAACGATAAGTCCGCGGTCACACTGCAGAGTAAAACCTTTAAAAAAAGTAATATTTATTATTTCGTCAAACCTGAGCAAAAAAAAAAATACATTTGCTCCTTATCACTAGGATAGTACTCATAGTACCCATAGTAATAATATTGAAAAAAAGTATAGTAAAGAAACATGAAAAAGCAGCTATATGGAACTCCGCGGGAGTCATCGCCAGGATTCCGCCGGCTATGTGCAGACAGCACGCAAAAGTCTTTTTTTGGCGGGAACTCGAACTGCTCTCCACTTCCAGGGAGCTTGAAAAAAACTGCCCTGCACAACAGGTAACTAACAGGAGTGTCTCGCCTATTTAAAGATGATTTCAAACACTTTTTCCCAACAGCCGGCATAGTTTGTCCGGGCGATCTACCCAATCGATACCCGGCATCCGGTCGGACTACAATGTTGTGGAGAGCTTTGGTTTTCCCCTGCCCGTCGTAGTGAACGAGGCCTTGACCTTTGTGGGATCTGCTGCAGGAGCCGTTTCTGCGAAGGTTGCCCAAAATGGCTGGGCTTGGGTACGGGCATAAGCACGGATCGAAAAATGATTTGGCTGGGTATTAAATTTCCGCTCTATTTCAGGTTGTGCACGGCCGCCGACTTTTAATTTGGCAGTACAAAGAGACGTCCAAGGGTGCCAAGCAACCTAGACGGGGAGTTGGCTTGTCCCAATGCCGCGAACTACAACTGCCCTACTCCGATTTAGGGTACAACAGTGAGTTGATTAGTGTATTCCAGACAGACGGCCAGCAAATGGCATCCTGCATAGCAGTTTCTGCAACGGGAGATGTGCGCTATTGGCCATCTATTGCCCACGACGGGAATAACGTGAATCTACCGATCCTAACCGGTCAGGACTTCGTTCAGATCATAAATCTACCATTGCAACAGGGCTACCTTGCTGTGACCTCAACTTGCACATTGGTATTTCTCAGCGTAGGCCTCACCAACGGCCGATACTCGTTGCACCACAAGACCATAAAACCGGCCACCAGTTTGCTTGGTGGCTTTGGCAAGAAATTTTCGTCCATGCTTATTGGAATGAACACGGGCAGCGACAAGGATCCGGTGAGGCTTGCATTTCCATCAAAAAAGGTTCCTCAAAAATTATAAAATATATTTTCCAGCTCTTGGTTGGCATGTGCTGCGAGAGAAATTCTCCTGAAGGTGAAACCGTGGTGGCTGTGCTCTCGGATCGTTCGATCCAGCGCTGGAGTTTGTCAAACAAAGGGAATACAGAACATTTACTCCACGAGGATGAAGAGGTGGTGCGCCGGATTCGCGAAGAGTTTAAGCAAAAGTTCTGGAATCTCCGTACTCCCGCGGACAATGTGGAAATCGAGTTGCATCTGCTGGACTTTCATATCGTAGATGACAAGGCTTACATATTGGCTGGAGCTGTTAACGCTGCCCACGCTCCACAGATGTGCTATGCCGTTGGTAAGTATTGAATTTGTCATTCAACATGAACAATACTTAATACTATTTCTAGCTGTGGCCAGTGTCCAACCGAACAGCATACTTTTGGAGTCAATCACACCCCTTAAGTTGAATAAATTCTACAACGCCAAGACCAAAGAGGATTGTGTCAGCCTTCGCTTCATAATAGGGAGTAGCCACATCTACCTCTACACCCCAAAGGTGGTCTATCCGTTGCTCTTGGCAAACACCGTACCCACAGCCGAACTTGAGGCGGAGAAGATTGAATTTCATTTGCACGACGATCGAATCCTATGTGCTGCCGTCTGCAGTCGACTTCCGCTGTTCTTTAGCCGCACACACGGACTGGTTTCAATCACACCCGGCGACTTTGATGCCAACGAGCTGCACAATATGAGCACCTGCAATACACCAGATCTGTTTGCACCAGCTTTGCTCGGTAGTTTCAGTGCACCCGATCAGTCTACACTGACCGCAGTAACTGGCAGCAGCAACAATCTGCACATGTTCGAACTGGATCCGGATGAGCTATACAGCGATCTAAGTGACGAAGTGGGCCAGTTAAAGGCTGCCTTCGTGTACCACCTGAAGCGTAATAACAACATGGTGAAGACAATTATCGGGGAGCTTCTGCGCACTGTCAATGAGCCCGATCAATATGGTGCACCCTTGGATGCCTACAAGTTGGATAGGTATGAATACTTGAATTTTGACTAAAATACTATAAGCTATCAGATACTTCCATTTCCATTAGAATTGTCATCACAATAGCGGAGGACTTGGCCGAGGATCTTCCAATCGCCGATCCACGCTGGGAAGAGGCTCTGGGCGATCACGATGGCAATCGTCATGCGTTGGGGAGCTCACGCTCTATGCAAATCATCAATCAGCTACGGGACAAAACCCTTGCCTTCGATCACTTTGTCTCATTTCTTCATGCCAGCGGCGTTTGGGAGAAGGTGATTATTATTGCTCTTCTTTTTGCTATTTTTTTTAATTTATCTTGCGTCATTCTTTTCAGCTCAATGCCATACCCTGTGGTAGTAATGTGCTGAAGCCGACCAGTTTTATATTGTCCGATATTAGCGAGAAAATAGTGGCTGCCATGGCACTCCGTTCCTTGCAGGCCAAACAACCAAAAATCATCGAGCATGCCATCGATGCCACTGTCGCCATGTGGGATGAGAAGCCCAATGGCAACCTAACCACCCAGGATATATTCTATGTGAAACTGTGCAAATTCCAGTTTGTATTCGAGGCGCTAGCCGAAATGGCTGACAATCAGATTTCAGCTCAGAGAGATACCACGGTAATGGTGGCCCAATTTCTCAACGATACCAATTCCATCGTCCTGGATACACTGGGCCAGGTGTTTATGCATCGTGAGCAGCAGGCGAACAACTTCACACCGCACAATGACAGACTGGCCGCCTGCGAAAACCTTCCCTGGACGGCCATGTCGGGAAGTGCTGGAGTTCGAGACACTCTCAACCGACTTATAGACCTCAGCCTGCGCTATGGTTCCCAGTGCATCAGTGAGACGGAGCTAAGCCAGAAGTTGTACCAGCAAATATACGAGCTAGTCGATTTGGTGCTTGAGGGGCGCAAGAACTACTTGGATAGTGTTCGAGGATCGGAGAAGGCTAATCTATTGCAGCAGCAGTTTGAGGCACAGCGCAGGGAACTCATCTCAGTCCTAAGTAAGTAGGTTTTCAGTATAACTGGGACGTATTTCATATACATTCCCTTTCCAGTCAAGGATCTTAAGTACGAGTATGCCGCTAAGTTGGCTGAAAAGTATCTGGACTTTCATAGTCTAGTGTTAATATGCGACTTGACCAATGACAAAGAACGTTTGGATGATTACATGCGCAAATACGAGGAGTTTAACTTCTCGCAGTTTGCCATCAGCTGGCATCTGCGGCAGAAGCGGCATGGCGAGGTATTCGAGCGCTTCAAGGACAACCCGATAGCGCTGGCACAGTTCATGCGTGACCATTCATCGCTGGTCTGGATTCAGCTGATATTCAACGGCGACTACGAGCGGGCGGCAAAGGGGCTGTACGAGCTGGCGCAAAACGAGAAGGAGATTGTGGCACGCAAGAAGTCAATGTTGTCTCTGTCCAAGCTGGCTGCTTTTGCGGCGCCCGACACCGACCTGACGTCGCAGATGGAGAAGATTAATGCTGATCTAAGGCTCATCGAGTATCAGCTGCAGTTGAGCCATGACGTACTTGAAAACTTTGGCCTCGACCCAGTAGAACAGAAAGTGCTCAAAGCTGAAGATATTATCGATGTAAGTCGATCCGTCCCTAGGTTCCCGTACATTATTTAACAATATTTAATAATCCCCAGTTATACATCGCCGATAAAAACGATAGTGCCACCGAAGCGGAGTTTGGCAAGGCCTTGGAACTGCTGAGCTTTGTGGAGCAGCCCTACGATCTGCGCCACAAGATCTGGTGTGCGGCCATACGCCGCGACAACTGGGTCGACTATGACCACAATAATTCCGTGGAATACATGCAGAAGCTACTATTCTACAAAATCATTGAAATCTCGGAGCTGATGGGCAAGGAAGGCGACAATGTTCTGCCGCCCATGGAGGAGTTCCTGGAGAGCACAGAACTAGATGACCTGCCGCAGAACAAGTCGTTCCAGTATCTCTTAAAACTGACCTACGAGTATGTGGCCGATATGTTCAAACAGCCACCAGACATGGAAGTCTAATTATGCTTTGCATATACAATCATTTACATTTATTAAAGTTTAAACCAAAAGCTGGAGATGATGTGTGGGTGTTTGGGCTTTTGTGAACCGCTGCCAGGTGTCCCTAAAAATTCATTGTACTAGCTACGATACGGACTCAACTTCACCGTGATGCTAGCGGTCTTTGGCCGCTTCTTTATTCATTACAGTTTGGAAAACAGATACTGTTTTAATTTTAAATTAACAAAATAGGGTATAAAAATGCCCATAACCCAGAGATATGTATAAGCAACAAGTCTTCAAATGACAGCAACACTGCGACTAATTTTTTGTTGAACTTTTTTGTTTAAACCTTGTTTTAGTCAAAATACAATAAATGGGAGTACTTAAAAGTAGTTAATCTTGTAGAAAATATATTCATCAACGGGATAAAACTATGTGGGCAGAGCTGAGGGTTTTAGTTAGTCAGCATTATTCAACGGAATATCAAAATCTAGCAATAGGAAAGATTACTCACTTACATGTTATTTTTCTGACCTTTTTCGCTAAAACCTTTTTTTAGAGAAAATGCAATAAAAGCAAGTGTTTAAAATAAGCCAGTCAAAAAGAACATTGATTCAGTAATCGGATATAATTATGTGGGCACAGCTGAGGGCTCTATCTAGCTCGTAATATCCAACCGAATATCAAAAACGAAGAATATGGAACTTGAATAAAAATTATTCGTCAGTATATTCCGGTATATTTGTAAAGTTCTGTCGTATATTTCGGTATGTTTCTGAGGGTCAGACAGTATATCTGTCCGATAAGTCCGCGGTCACACTAATCTCTACGGGCAGCCATTTTTTTCACGCTTTGTGTAAAAATTCGTGGAAAAAGCAGGAAAGTTTAAAAAATAAAGTAAAAAGGGCTGTAAAAGTTTTCTGATACTTGTAAAAGTATGCAATATTGAAATTTGTGAGTGTTCGAAGTGCGTGAAACCAACAATTGAACATGGAAACTGTTGTGGCTTTCAACAATGAGGTAAGTCCGAGGCAGGGCAGCCGCCGCTTGCTGATTGCGTGAGAAAAACTCGCTGCAAAGTACGCAAATTGTTTGAAGCGTGGTGGTTATACAACGCCAACCACTGATCCGATGCAATTGTTACAGTGAATATGTGCATACACAAAAAATAGTTATTTCTAGGCAATGCCCCAAATTTGTTCGTACAAGCGCAGCACAGCGCCGCCCAGGGTTGCATGTTGCCTTGCCCGTGATACTCAACCGTGTACTCGATTGCGATAACCACAACCCCATGCCCACTTGTTCTTCCCATTCTGTCCTTTGCAGCTCTCCGGACTCTATGACAGCCGACCGCCCATATCCAAGGCCAAAATGGCCGCAATTACGAAGTCGGCAATGCGAGCCATCAAGTTCTATAAGCATGTCGTCCAGAGCGTGGAGAAGTTCATATTGAAGTGCAAGCCGGAGTACAAGGTGCCGGGCCTGTATGTTATCGACTCGATTGTGCGTCAATCGCGCCACCAGTACGGGCCCGAGAAGGATGTATTCGCCCCCCGCTTCCAGCGAAACCTCACAGAGACCTTTGCCAATCTCTTCCGCTGTGCTCCCGAAGATAAGAGCCGCATCATTCGCGTCCTCAATCTCTGGCAGAAGAACAATGTCTTCAAGTCGGACGTCATCCAACCCATCTTCGATCTGGCCGACCCCAACCACCCCATTTACCATCAAATGCAAATGCAAATGCAAATGGGCGGTGGAGCCGGACCCGGTGGCAATGTGGGGCCTGGTCCCAGCAGCAGTGGCGCCCTTAGTCTGGCCGATATCTCCAGTGGGCCTAATGGCCTCAACACCTCTGGATTGAGCAACATGGACCTGAGCATGAACAGTGGCGCGGGAGACGACAAAATGGGCGGGGTGCCCGATTTATCGGTGAGTTGTTGATTCGGTACCGCGGATGTTGGGCTTGGAGAACACACTCCACACAACATACATACTAACCGAATCCGAGGGATTCCACGATGGGTATCCTGTATCCTTTGTGTATCCCTTAACGCATACTAACTCGCAATCTCTTCCAATCGTTGTTGTTCCGCTGTCTCTTGCTTCATGTCTTGCCAACCAACATCTTTCGTCCTCGTACACGCAAACACACGAAACACCCCAGATGGGTCATGAGAAATCCTACGGTGGCGGTGTCAGCAGCAGCAGCTCAAAGCGTCATCATTCGGATCAGCATTATATGAAGCGTCAATCGGGATCGTCGAGCAAGTCGCATCATCACAAATATAGCAAGACCTCGCACGAAATCGACTACGATGTGCGCTCGATCATGGACGACGAGGAGGACAACATGCAGCGGATGATGGCCGATGATCATCATCATCATCATGGCCATCACTGCATGGGCGACGACTCGCCCCCTACTTCATCCAATCTGCTAGACGTATGGCCGAATCCCAATCGATCTCATTCGCTTTTTTGTTTAGTTTTAATTTCTTGTATTAACACTGCCCGCCCTCTTCTTTTGCGATCTGTTTTGCTTAATCCCTGGTTGGTCTTTTGCAGAACAACAATCTCAAACAACTGCTCAACGATCCGAATGTGCTGCGACAGCTGCAGACACTGCAGAATTTCCAGAAGTTCAAGCAACAGGAGGAAAACCAAAAGATGCGCTACCAGGACGATGCCCTCCAACAGCATTTGCAGAACGTGTTGAAGGTATCGTATATCGTTTATCCCTGGGTTACATTCCCTGGTAATCTGTAATCCAATCCAGGGCACTGCTGGCATGCCCCCTGGGATGGGAATGGGCATGGGCATGAACCTCAACCACAGTGACGGGCAGGACATGAACAAGGACGTGGAGTTCATATCGGAGCAGCAGTCGATTGAGGTATACCACCGAATCTATTACTTTCTTTCTATCTTAGTTGTTTGTTTCGGCCTCGTGTATCTTTTCGATCCCCCCACCCCCACGGGAGGACTGCATTGTTGTCCGTTGCGTGGGTCGAAAGCATACACGAGTCGCCCATTCAACCTGCTCTTGTTGTTGTTCCTATCGCGAAGATACATACACACAAACAAACACTCCCGGAGTGGAGCGGAACGGACTGTGCTGACGTGCAGGTGAAGGTGCAGTTGAGTTTGAGTTTGTCCGCAAGAAGCGCCCAAAATGTTGTTATAACCGAGCGGAGCCGAGCGTAGCGGTCTAGGATTGTCTCCAATTTAAAATTAATCTCTAACTATATCTGCGATAAAATTAAACTTTACCACAATATGGCTCAACAATTGGTTCCACCCTACCCTTGGGGGGCTGAGGGACGTTATTGAGCCATAAGTAGATACGATACTATTTTTGCCACCAAAAGTAAAAAATAATACTACCCTCGCCTTGCCTTGCGAAGTTTTAAAGAGCGAAAAGTCATTGAAAAACACTACAAATATTTGAGATCAGAGCCTAAGAAACGAATAGTTGTTTTAAAGATTTAAAGATTAAAGATATGTTGTACAATATATGACAAAAAAGAGAAGCCAAAGGTAAGGTTTTTAAGAAAAACAATGTCCGGCGGACCCGCACCCGATGCTATAACAACGTTTGGTAAGTGTTCTCCTAAATATGTAAACCATTCAAAACAAAGAATCAAAAACTTGCTCGAAAACGCAAAATGCCAACGAAATGTCAAGAATCGTCGAATCGAACCACACGTCAACACACGCCAGAGAATGCAGTTTATCGTTTTTTTTTTTTTTCTCGTAGTCCTTCAATCGTCCTCGAATCACTCTCGATTCCCTCTACTAATCCCTAACTCCCCACTCCCACTTCGGCCTCTTCCCCACCCAACTCTTTCTTTTACGCTTACAAAAATGTTAACGTTTTTATATCACAAAATCAATTCTCTCAAACTTCTTGCCAACACTCCCGACTCCAATAGGTGATCAATCTGGATGGGGCCGATTCGCGGAGTCCAACGCCCGACCGGGAGAGGTACAAGCGGAGCCGGAGGAACAGCAGCCGCAGTCGTTCTCGCTCACCACGTGGACGAGGTGCTGGAGGCGGCGGTGGCGGCGGCGGGGGTGGAGGCGGCAATGGCAACGATCGACGTCGTCGCGGATCCCGATCGCGCAGTCGTTCACCTCGTTCCAGTAGACGCCGAGGATCGCGGGACCGCGAGCGCATGGAACGCAACAATCGGGACAAGGAGCGTGACCGGGAGCATGAGCGTGAGCGCCGCAAGAAGGGGCTGCCTGATATTAAAAAGGATCACCTCAGTGGTAAATATGGCGTCGAATTATTAGCCAAGAACCGTTCCCTGGGAACAGTTTCTGGAGATGATTTTTGGTCCCTTTTTTTTCGTTTCTTTTCTTCTTTTGTGTTTCCTGCTAATCCGGAAGAGTTCTCTCCTCTCTATTCCTGCAGCTCCTTGGCTCGTGTTGACGTGTGTGTGTGCGCGTGTGTGTTTTAGCTTTAGTGTTTGTTGCACTTGATTTTTGGCATAATTTAAGACTACTCCAACCCCAGACTAGACCCACTCTAGACTCCCCCTGTCCTGCGTTTTCGAGCAATGTTTTTGAAGATAATATACACATTTCATACGATACGATACGATACCTAATAAGATACAAAACAATACGTAAAACCATATGCCTTCATATATATGTGTTGGATGAATTCAACTAAAATGTGGCTTTAGGTTTTTTAAATTGAATGAAAAACTAACTCAACTGACACGCGCACCGCTCAACGAGCGAGCTACGGGGCCACCTACTCCTTCCCACACTGCTAGCTACTCGGCTACTCGTTGATATATTAGATCCGATCTATATGTGTGTCGTTTCCCTTACAGTATGCAGCACCACCTTGTGGGTGGGCCATCTGTCCAAGCTGGTCTACCAGGAGGAGCTGTCCGACACCTTTGGGGAGTACGGCGACATAGTAAGCATCGATCAGATTGTGCCACGCGGATGCGCATTCATAGTGATGAATCGTCGCCAGGATGCGCACAAGGCCATGCAATCGCTGAAGAATCACAAGCTCCAGGGACGGGCCATAACCATCTCCTGGGCCGCCGGCAAGGGGGTGAAGAGCAAGGAGTGGAAGGACTTTTGGGACCTGGAGCTGGGCGTTACGTACATACCCTGGAGCAAGCTGAGTCCGGAGACGGATCTCGACACCCTCGAGGAGGGCGGCATGTTCGACGAGGACACCATGCCCAGCTGGATTAAGCAGAAGATCAATCAGGCCAAAAATGTCGGCAAGGAGAAGAACACGGCGTCAACTCCAGAGACCGCTACGGCATCCGTTCCTGGCCCACCGCCAGGACTAATGTTCGGCATCGATACAACACAGCCGCCTCCAGTGGGACCCGTGGGTCCAGTGGGTCCACCCCCACCGCTCGGCCCCGGCGCACAACCTCCACCCGGACTCATGGGCATGGTGAGAGGCCAGTACCCCATGGCTCCCCCCATGGGGATAGGCATGCCGCCTCCGATGATGATGCCACCGACAAATATGCCGCCACCGATGATGATGCCGACGACAACCATGCCTCCACCAATGATGATGCCACCGGGCATGATGCCGCCCGGTTTTCCAGGTACGATTTTCCCCATAAATCTGCCCAACTGAATCTCTAATGATGAATTGGCATCTGGTATTTCCAGGAATGGGTGGACCCCCTCATCCTATGGGTATGCCTCACGGAGGGCCATTTCCGCCGCCCGGAGCAGTGCCACCTCCTATGGCCGGAAGCGCCCCACCCGCGGGCAACAGTGGTAATATAAGCGACGATCAAATGGACATTGAAATGGATCTAGAGGATGCCCCGCCCCCGATGCCACCACAGCAACAGCAGCAGCAGGCCAGCTTCAATCCGCCTATGGCCAATCCCAACAATGTGGAGGCAGTGGTGGCTGCCGCTGCCAACGAGATGTTCCAGAGGGAACGGGAGCGTTCCCGCGGCCCAGGCGGCGGCGGCGGCTCACGTTGGGGCGGACGCGATGACGTGGCAGAAGCTGCCGAACGCTGGAGAGCCGAAAACGGCGGTGGACCGGGGGGAGCTGGTCCTGGACCTGGGGCTGGACCAAATGTCGCATTCAATGAGGCGCGAGCTCGACTCAACCTGAATCCACTTGAGCATGGAATGCAGAGGCCAGACTTTATGGGCGCGGGTAAGTGGCGACTGCAACTAAAAGTATGCGTACGATTTTACCTGACTTCCATTCCCTTTTCAGACTTTGATAATCGCGGTGGACCGGGTCCTCGTGGAATGGGGCCACGCAGTGGGAACCTAAATGGAGGCGGAGGACCGGGTGGACCAGGAGGAGACTTCTTCCCGCCCAACATGAACAACAGCCGATTCAATCAGCCCACCAGCCTGATGCAAATGCGTATACCGCCGCCGGCGGCCTTTAATCAGCGTATGGGTGGACCCCCTAACAATGCTGGCAATGGCGGTGCCGTGGGACCAATGTTCATGCGCAACCAGGGCGGCAATGGCGGTGGTGCCGGCGGACCTGGTGGACCCGGTGGACGACAACAGGGACAGGGACCAGGTGAGATGAAAGAGTCAAGCAAAACTCAAAGCTCAAGATATTCAAGAGTTATTCAATGGCAAACCAATTCAAGACATCTACCTTCTATTGACTCTGATTGAAATTGTATTGCCATAAACTCGGTGTTCCACAAACTTTTTGTGTATTTCTTGATTACCTACTAAAATCAATATCCCTAACATGAAAATATGTTTCGTGAGAAATATGAGCACAGGCGATCAAAATTTTGACAAACCGTTGATACGGCTGGTTTCATCTGCTACTTCATTGAAAATCCGAATTCGCATAAGTAGACTGTGGCAAATGGTACTAGAATTGCAACAGCACGCTTTGCCCATTTTTCTTTTTGAAACACAGAAACAAAATCTGAATCCTGGTCCACTTATAGCAAGCTAATAAATCCGAGATAGCACTTTTCCGATAGCGATATGAAACAGTAGTGACAGAATCTTCACAGAAAACCTTTACCTTTTTACGAGGCACACCAACTGTAGACCACGGCACACACTTTGCGGAACATTGCCATAACCCATTGTGTTCCAATGGTACCATAAATGTGTGATATGTAAATAGATGTGGAAATAGCTAGAGGTTTTAATTAATTACTTAATTATTAATTTATTTATTTAATTAATTACCATTCGAATCCATAATCTGCAGGCTTCTTCAATCCCCGGAATCCCTTCAATGATAATCAACGCGGACGTGGAGGCCCTGGTGTGAATGCGAGGAATGCCACAACCGGAGGCGGCGGGCGAGGACGCTGGAGCGACGATGAGGATGAAGTCGGCAACAATTTCAACAAGCGTCGTGCCGGTCCTGGAGGTCCTGGCGGTAATCGCTTCCGTGGAGATCGAGAGGGCGACATTCCCGACGATCGCCGTGGCAACAACGCGCGTGGCGGGCGCGGACCAAGAGAAGAACGTGACCGTCCAGGTTTTGGAAATAGACGCGGCTCGCGAGATGACAGTAGTCGACATTCAATGAGTTCCACGGATGAAGGAAACAGCAAATCCATATCGGAAACGGATTCCAGGGAAAAGAATCAGGAGACGCCGCTGTCCAGCACTAATACGCTTTCAGTGCCAACACCAGCCCAAGCATCAGCTCCAGCCCCAGCAACTGCTGAGACGGCGGACACCGAGGAGGACTGGGACCGTGAGCTGCAGGACTATGAAGCGAGAATGGAGGCAGAGCAAGCAGCTAAGGCCGAGCGAGATGTACCAGATGTTACTCCAGTTGGTGCAGAGCAAAGAGCGGCCTCTGGGTCGCCGGTGGAGAATTTCGCAAGACCAGCGGAAGTGGCGAACGATTTTCCGGCACTAAAACAATCAGATGCTTCACCCGCCTGCACGCCCCTCTACGATGAGCTGCCACCACCCTCAGCCCCAACCCCAGCCCTAGCTCCCGCTGAGCCAGAAAGCAGAGTAGAAGTACCTGCAGAAGCAGAAGCCGAAGCAGCTCCTCCACAGAAACCTGAATTTATTCGCACAGAGGCTGTGCCCAAAGACGAATCCCCTTCAACTCCTGCTCCAGCTCTGGAAATACAAGATGAAGCTCCAAAAATGGATGCTACACAGTCAGAAGCTCCATTATCGGAGGAGTCATCCAATCCAGCGGTGACTGTCGAGGCTGAAGCATAGAAGACAGATTAGATCAGCAGAATCAAATTGCATCTTTGTGGTGAATTCTGATTGAATTCCCATCAGGAAAAGTGTAATTCATGATTTTCCTTACCCAGTAACTTATACATGTGTAAAATCCAAACATACGAACCTATTTAAATCTTTTCAACCTGAGATTTCGTGGCATTTCACGTACTTTAAGCTGAGTACCAGCAACGCAACCAAAATTTTTGAATGAATTACTCTACTCGTAAAATACAATAGGAACGCAAGGACCGGAGGGACTACGTGTTCGTGTACGCATTCATACACGGATATAGAAAATACTTAGCAAAAGCAAGAGAATGTGAGAGTTTGGAGGGAAATTGACAAAGCAACGCAGAAGCGGAAAGAAAATCGGCAATCGCAGAACTTGAAGTGTTTATAATTTTGTTATGTATTTAGTTTTAAGGGTCTATTTAACACTCGGATTGTTTTCAACGCGCAGATTCTAGGTACATAGATTCTAGTGTACAATTCAAATACAATTATATTATATCAGTACTATAAAATAAAAAAAATTTAAATGTGATTGCTTTTAGAAATGAATTTATCAATATAAAATTTTCATATACATATGTACATATGTATATTTGTTTAGTACTAACATTTCCAATATGTGATGTGTTGTGTTCAAAAAGAAACAGTGCGGCTAACAGCGTACTGTTAAGCGCAAAACCTAATCGATACCATCTCTACGTATAGGAAAAGCTACGTTAAGTCTTCTCTGTTAATAATAAATTTAATACAGGGTATAGAAACATCCATACGCAGGTTTTTTTAATTTTCGCTCTCTCAAAACGTGCTTTCCTGCTTCATTTATTACATTTATTACAGCTATAGTTTCAGTCAACATACAAGAAATGGGTTAACTTAAAAGTCAAGTCAGTAGTCAAGTCAAGTAGAAAATTGATTCAGGAATTCAGTATGGTTTCCAGTCTTCGAAGACGAACGATTAGCCCATTGCTTGCAAAGGGGGTATTTTAATATTCCAACGAAAATAATAAAAATGTAATAATTTTAGCGCAGTTCAGGTGAAAGATTTTAGGTTTTTTTTTAAGTTCACAGGAAAGATCTACAAGAAGAATTTACAATCAGTAATGTTTTCCGCCATTTACCTCAAATCGTTAGACTGTTTAAATAGAGGGTGGATAAGTGGGTTATATTGTTATTGAGGCACCAAAATTCAGGCAAAAACAATCAAAGCAATCGCCGTAGCATGAAAGCGAGTCAAGTATTTAAAGCAACCCAGTCAAGTAGAAAAATCATTCATTAATCAGGTAAAATTATGAGTTCAGAGCTGAGGGTTCTAGCTACTTAGTAATATTCAACCGAATATCAAAAATGAGTAATATGGAACTTGAATACAAATGATTCGTCGGTATATTACGGTATATTTCGAAATTTCTGGCGTAGTTTCGGTATATTTCTGAGTGTCTGACCGTATATATAATCTGTAAGTCCGCGGGCACACTGTTCGGGAGTTCGGTGTTAAAAAATACAAATCAAAAATTTGATTTTTTGTATCAATAAAATAAATAAATAAATATAGTAAATACCCAAGAAATTATCCACAACAATTTCAACTAAATATAATGTTATGCTAATTCAATGTAAGCATCAATGCAAACAGCGCAGTTAACCAAGTGTTAAAAATATTTTTCGGCTGCCAAAGAATTCACTCACACGCATACACAAACGTAAGCAGAGGCACTCACAAGCATGCACATACACACACACAGCGCAGTTGTGGGAAATGTGCAAATTGTATAAAATATCAATATAAAAGTAAATAAATGGAACATCAGAACGTGTGAAGAGCTTAGTGAAATAATCAAATATAAATCGAGTGTGGCTAAAAGCGCAAAGAGTAACGAAAATCGGCTGAAAAACGTGTGCAATTTTTGTCATGGCTTGAACTAGTAGTATAAGTATATTTGTGTAGGTGAGGAGTGTGAAAAAATATACATAGGTGTCCCTGTACGTGTGGCCCAGCCGCCAACAAACCAACAGCAGCTCTGCTCTGCTCTCCACCAGTGCTCCCACAAACACACGCACACATTCATGCGATGGAAAGAGCGAACGTAACCGCTGTCGATGTTGGCAGAGACAGCAGCATATCCTTGTTTTCTTTCCTGGCAACCTTCTCCTTTTCCCTCTGCCTGTGCGACTGTGGATGCTGTTCGAAAGCTCACCCTCATCAACATGACCCCTACCCCAAGAGCAAGTTTTCGCTCGGTTTTGCTTACACATGCACACAAACTCACACATTAAAGTGAAGCTACACACAAATGTTTTGGTTTATTCCAGGCGCTATTTTTGGAATACGAAGGTGATCGAGAACCCGGCATCATCAATGAATTGAATGCTTTTCGACTCGTACTTAACTTGTACCCATATTAAGTCATTATTCTCTTTAGTGCTTCGTAGATAACGTAAAAGTAAACCGCAAACCATTTTGGAGCATCGTTTATCAGATCCCCATCTCCACCGCACGTTATGCAAAAAAGCAGCCACAAATTGTATGCAGCAATTCGTACGGCATTTTTTGTAGAGTTCTTTAGCCTTTTCGCTTCGTGCTCCTCTTGTTGTAGTGGTAGAATTCGTTTCTAAATGCGAAGCGCGCGCGACCGAACAGCTGTAAATCTACACACACTAAGAAGTCTGCCTATTGGTGTAACTGTGCCTGTTCGATCTTGTTTTTTTTTTTTTTTTTTTGCCAAAATACACTCTTTATGGATCTGATCTACTCGCCTTTCGAGAATTTTCAGCAAAAAATTCATTTGGCATGAACCTTTTTCGTTAGTTATACACATACATAAATTGGTATATTAAATGGAAAGAGCTTTCCCATCAATTTGGTTACCCTTGAATTCCCCGTAAACGGTATGATGCGCATGCATTGATATGAGTTTGAGTGTGACTCTGCAAATGCAATTTTAAAGTCGGGCAACACCGGCACCATATTCTCATTAGGCCACGAGTTGTAAACTCCTTGTTATTATTTCAAGCCCAGTTTAGACTTCCACTAAAAAATGGCGGACCACATACAGTTGCCTGAATTATGGTCTCGTGTCTGGGTCTTGTTTATCTGTCACAGGATAGTCAAGACACAGCAACAGTGGCGTCCCGACGTCATCGGTAAGCGGAGCTTCCGCTGCCGCCTGTATGTGTTTGTGTCCATGTATGTAGATGCGCTCCACTTTTGGATGCTATTTATAAACATTTTTCAACCGTATACATACACACAGCCACAGAACAGTTCTGAATCTCTGATTCTGCTGCTCTGCTTCCTTGAAATCTGCATAGTTCCGCTTCCGATTGAGCTGCTGCTGCTCTGCGCTGGGACTGGCGCAGTCGCAGTTCAATTCCTAAACATGTATTGGCGCAACAGCTTTCGTGTGTGTTTGTGTGTGTGCTGCGGCTCCACGTTCCACTAGCTACTTTACCGGGCAGCATCCACATCCACATGTTGAAAAGCGTGCCCATTATGTACGTATGTCTTCCCTTCATCTTCCCTGGCTGTTACTGTTACGTCTGTCAGTTCAACTCCCTTTCTCCTCTTTTAAATCCTTTATCCGTCGTTGCATTGATTTGTTTACTTGAGTGGGTGTGCGTGTGTGCGCAGTCTGTATTTGCGTTATGAATGTTCTGTTGACATTGGCTTTAACTTGAAATTCGTTTAAATTGGAAGAATGAAAATTAGATTTTTTGTTTTATGCATTTAATCATGCTCTTAACACCACAGGTGTCGTTTTGTTGCCTCATGTATCATTTAATTGTCTGCAAATATTTAGTATTGAATGATTAGTGCCAGATAAGCCGCACTTTTGATTACTTTCACATAATTATGAAATTGAAGGAAGCCGTTGTAAGGGATGCTTTATTTGGGGAGCATTTTAGATAGTCGGCAAACGTCGGTGGCAATTTCGCATGCTGAATGTTAATTTTTTAAAGTTATGGTTCAAGTTGAATGTCAAATTCTGCAGAAATCAGCACCCCAAAGAGCAACGGCACATCTCACACATGTTTTTGTCTGTTTTAACAGAATAAAAAAATAACAGAATGCTAGCTGCATTTTCAAGGTGTATTAATATAGGGTGAGCATCTGCAGCGTGAAAAAAAACCAACGCATGATCAGGAATGGCTATTGTTCTGTCTGCTATTACAGTGACAGTGATTAATATGCAGCTTAATGCAAAACTGATTTTTCTGTAATTTAGTTAACTTTATTTATAAATAATCAGTATAGTCTGACCTGACCGCATTTTACCCGCCTACAACAGCCATTAGCCAGCCAACGCACAACAAAGCGAAAGTGCAATCAACAAAATAAAATGATTAAAAATAGTACTTTATTGCATATATGTACATACATATGTACATATGTACACATACATATGCATTTATGTACATTACGTATACATTTAAATAACAGTCGCGCCATCACTTGGCCACTTTGCTCTGGGTTCCTCTCGGAATTCAATGTTAACATTGTGCGCGCTCTCATTATCGCTCTCCTCTCCTCTGGGATTCTTTTTCCATTCTTATCACACATCTTTCTTCCCCTTCTCTTGTTGTTTGCAGTATAGAAGCCACTCAGCAGGAGGTACAAAATTGTGTGTTGTCATATGCACGAGATTTAATGAAATGCCGTCGCGCCGGCAGCAGCAGCGGCAGCACCAGCAACACCAGCAACAATTAAACCGAACCCATCGGCTAAAATCTAATAATTAAGTGAAAAGTGAAATGCAAAATCTGTTCGATAAAATATTATAAATTGATACGAAAAGCGAATCTAAAAAGCAATAAATATACAATTTACGACTGGAGTGGAGTTTTCGAATCGAACCACAAAAATGAAGCGGCGCAATGCAGACTGCGGAAAATTACGGCGTCCGATGAAACGCAACAAAATTACAGAGGGCATGTACGGCAGGTGAGTGTCCACAGAATGTTTAATCCTCTCATGGCAAGAATAAAGCCTAAGTCTAAATTACTTTAAATTATAAATGTGCGCTACCACAAAACAATTAAGAATTTTTTCATGCGCAGCCTATACAAGAGTGTGTGTGCTTGTCAGTTTTAGTGTGCCTTCTCCTCTCCTGCTCTCCTCTATTTTTGATTACACTAGTCAACAAAATCGATCTTTTTTTAGAGGTACATAATTTAATCTCTTATATCTGGTTGTAATTGTGAAAAAGCCGATAAATGCAGCTATAATTTGGACCTAAATATTTTTTAGTTTCAGCCCAGCGTCTGGGAAATATTAAGATTTCAAATGCATAATTTTTCTTGACATTTTTTCATATTTTATTAGTATTTTAGAGGTAATCCCGAAATCTATTAGAAAAAGTAGTCTGTTGCAGAGTGTTATTTATATGTTTGTTTACTTTTTGATTTCGCTTTATTGCCGTTGTTTT